AATGTACCTCAAATGTTGGTTTTTGTCGCTGCTTTTTATTGTATATCCTGTATACGTGAAGGAGTGTCTCCACCCCATCGTTCTGCCTGGACACTGAGATCCAGCGCCGAGGGCCTTCTGGCGGTTCCCTCATTGTGAGAAGTGAGGTTACAGGGAACCAGACAGAGGGCCTTCTTGGTAGTGGCGCCCGCCCTGTGGAACACCCTCCCTTCAGATGTGAAGGAAATAAGCAGCTATCCTATCTTTAAAAGACATCTGAAGGCAGCCCTGTTTAGGGAACTCTTTAATATTTAATGCTGTATTGTTTTTAACACTTGATTGGGAGCCGCCCAGAGTGGCTGGGGAAACTCAGCCACATGGGCAGGGTATAAATAAATTAGTAGTAGTAGTAGTAGTAGTAGTAGTAGTAGTAGTAGTGTTACAATCTCAAAATTTCAATAAATAGGTCCATTTTTTTTAATGCCATATGCTAGCGGTAAACAATAAGGAAGACTTTGTGCGCTGTGACATCTGGAGACATCTGTCTGTGCCCTGTTGGAAACAGAATACTGGACTAAGTGGACCTTTTGGCCTGATGCAGAAGGGCAGCTCTCATGTTAGCCACTGCATGAATGTATTCAGTGAGAGAGAGAGAGAGAGAGAGAGCACCATTTGTAAAATTTCTCCGTTCACTGTTAAATTCCTTTATGTCATGGAGGTGAGAGAATGCTCCGGTTAAAGTGTGATTTTTAAGCCCGAAAGTGAAAAATCAGTCGGAAATATACTCACAGCCTTTCAGTTTAATTTTTCTCCTCGGCCTAGCTCATCAGAAGAATCCTACATGTGCACATTCTACTCCAATGCATTTGCCTTTCATTGAGCAATCAGGAAAGGCACTTCAAGCATTCCAAAAATATTAAAATTAACTTTATACCCTTTCCTGCACATTTTATTCAGGATATCAATAAAGTTAAAATTATTGCCTGTGATTTAGGAACAAGAAAGACAGGCACAGAGGGTGGGGTTGTTGTTGTTGTTGTTGGCCCTTCTTTAATTGATCCAGATGCAAGAAACTTCCTGATCTTTAAGGACAGCCAGTCTCAGAGAGAGATTTAGTGATATTCACGGCCTTTTGATATCTTAGAGATTTCAAGCTTTAGTGTGACCCCTTAAATCTGCTCTGGGAGTTTCCCTAACTCTCTAGAGCAAATTTACGGAAGGTGCACAGGGAAATGAGGGGGGGGGATAAGTTCCATTGCAGAGTTAAAACGTATTGCACTAGTGGAACTTTGTGCTTGGATTCCGCCACCCATTGTGTCTTTCCAGACCATCAGTTTATAGCTCAACAAATACGTAGTTGTCCCTAATCTGATACATGGAAGCCAACTATTTTTCAATGGCTTTCTTCCAATTCATTGATATCATATTCGGCCAGCACTCAGACAGAACGTAATCTGCAGTTGCGCCTTTTGGTTTCAACCACGGCAGTGCCTTGAAAGCTGCACCGAAACTTTTAACGCATAGCTTCCTCAGGTTACATATTGAGAAAAAGCATTTTCGGCTCCCTTACAAGTCCCATCTTTTCAGACTGAGCACTGCTTATATTCTGTGCTGGAATACACAGTGTGCAATCTTTTTTGTAAAGAAAGGGTAACGAGGTACACTTTGCTATAAAAGTGCAAAAAGCTAAGGCTGCAGCAAAGCTACCCCTATTGGACTTGTAGGACTAGCTTGTAAAAACTAAAAAGCACTCTTCAAATTGATCTCGATAAGAAATATCCATTTATATGTCATTTATTCCTGACTATGCCATATATCCTGGTTTGCAATGAGAAGGTTATAGACAGAGATGTAGCTCTCCACCAGCTGCCTGTGCTAAAAGTCCAGGCAAACATATGGAGTGAGTGGTCCAAGAGTAAGAATGCTAGACTCCAAACAAGGGGCCCAGGTCTTTAAGGTATTCCACTCCTCAAGGAAGGGGCAGAGCCTAGGAAGAATGATCAAGCCTGGTTCCATAAAAGGTTTCAGTTCTGGCTTATACTTTATTGGAACATTTGTCATATAGAGCTTTCCATGGTGCTGCAACTACTACCTCACTTTGTGCTGCTCTTGTTAAGGACAGACTTTCCATAGCTTTCATATGCATAGCTTGTATTCAACATAGCACAAAGACTAAGGTTCCGTCAGTGCAAATATAGTCTTTGTGCAATGGAACTTTTTCCCACTCTGTGGGTGGGGTGGGGGGCACATAGGGGAGGGAGAGGATTAATTCCCATGGCATGAGCAGGAATCCTTGCAATAGCTTCTGCTAGTGCAACAGCTTAGCTAAATATGGCCCTGTTGAGTCCCAATTCACAGCAAAGCGGTAAAGAGCAAGAGTGTATGTTTGCTTCCTCACTTTTCAGCAATGCATGAAATGGCATTTGAGTTATGAGCTTGAGAGATCAGTAAACCATTTAAATCTAGGTGGAATGCACTTTAACTTTTTTTAAATATAACATTAAGCTAATCTTCAGTTGGAGATATTCTATTAGTCAGGCTACTGACTATGAAATGAAGGTAGCTAATTGCAATTTTAATACTAGGTTCTATAATTATTTTAAATCACATTTGGTTTCTCCACCCATTCCAGGTATAATACATAATTTAAATGTACTCTTTTAGGACTAACCCACCTACAGAATTTATTTATTACATTTATTTCCTGCCTCCCCCCCCCCAGGAAGTCAGTGCATTATACGTGATTCTCTCATCTGCACATTTGATCCTTGCAACAACCCTGTGAGGTAGGTTAGGCTGGGAGATAGACTGTGGCCCAAGTTCACCTAGTGAATTTCATGGCCAAGAGGGGAATTTGAACCTGGGCATCCCCAGCCCTGTCCAATGTCACTCTATTAATTATGGTTATGGGGGCCCAGTCTTAATAACTTCCCAAGCAATTACATGCTTTATTACAACTTAAACACTGAGTGTTTCTTTGTGTGTGTTTTGTTTGAGAGGTGGCTTATTTTGAGGCTATCATAATATACATGGAGTCCAACCGGTCCTAAACATGGTCACTCAAAAATCTCATTGAGCTCAATGCTGCTTACTCAATAGATTGCACAATTAAGACTGCAGCCTAAATGCCACCCTATACCTATTTAGTCAGAAGAAAGCCCCATTGTGTTCAGTAGATTTATTTCTGAGGATATGTCGTAGGACTGCAGCCTCAGCTATTTAAAATGTTATTCAAGGATATAGGATTGCCTCCCTAATGAAGTTAAATTTTCAAGTCGTCATGTTCTGGAACACAGAACCCTAGTTGGAAATGGGAGCAGTCTCCAACAAGAGAATAATGGATTGAAAGATTATTGCATTCCATGCTGATGACCACCTTAAGCTGCTTCAAATTAGTATCCATAGAATATATTGGGCCTTTCTGAAGTGTATTATGCCACATTATATGCTACTGTCATCCTGTCCCCAGTGGTACATACGGTATTTAAAATTATAATAGCACTCCTCTGAGAAGGCTGGACTTTCTTTAAACTGTTCAGTTTGTTTTCTAGAAAAGATGTGTCCTTTCACATTGTAATGGAATAGAGTTGGGACCAGAAGGAAATGTCAGACAGTAAATACTGATTAGCTTTAATATACTTAGGCAACTAAGAGCCGTTTGTATTTTATTTTTGTCTGTATGACTTTATCATGAAGAAAATAGCTGTGTTTTCCTTCTTTCTCTTTGCCCTGCTCCCAAATTGTGTGGACAGACACTTCCCAATATTTTCTGCATCAGGGCTGCAGAATGGGTTATATTCCCTCGTGGGCCTCTTCTGAGGGGCCCAGGTTGATGTTGGGGGGTGGGGAAAGGGATAGGTGAAAATGGCTTACCAGGTTAAAACTGGGTGTGGACAGAGGCAAAGAAAGTGCAACAGCCGATGTGACTCTTACCTTTTTTACATTGCAGTTAAGCAAAGATCAGGTCTCTATATGCACATGCACGCGCACACACAGGCAAGAAGCTTTATTACAATTCAAGGACAAAGTCCAGCAAGACAAAAACAGCCTGAGGAAGGCTCAGATTGGGGCTGCTAAGTGGGTGTGGCTTGGGGAGAGTCCTGAGGGACTAAGAGGGAGGGATGAAATGCTGCATTCCACTCTCAAGCCTGAGGCTCCCCATTTGTGTACTAGGTATTTATTTGTTACAACGTGATTTTGGCGAGTCTGTTATATTAAGAATAATTAATATGTAAAACATACATAGGACAGTTTTGAGGATTTTTGTTGGCTTTAGGCTACAGTCCCAAGTGTACTTATTAGAAAGTTATTCCTATTGAACACCGTGAGGTTTATTCCCAAATAAGCATAAACAGGAGCCATCACTAGGTGGTGTGTGCGATGAGACAAAATGACCAAGAAAGGGCCATGAGCTTGAAAAGGACCATCCTGCCATTGTGGGGGAGGGGCATACCTTTTCCCCCAGATAATCCAATAGGCACCCAGCTACCTGAACCTACAAGCTATCAGATTCAGACCCGGAAAGGCTTCGGTCCCTTTAAATGGTGCACAGAAGGGGCAGGGTTGTGACGTGTGTCTTTTCCACCTCACAAGATTCCTTCTTAGCATCTCTTTAGAAGAGCTGCCACAAGCTCTGAGGTTCGTAAATCTTGGGCGATGTATCTGTCACTGGTTCCTTTCAGCTGTGAGGTCTGGAAGGAGCTAGCAGCAGTTGAAGCATCCAGAAACATTTAAGCTAATGAAACTGTGTCATGAATCTCTGCATTCAGGGCCAGCTGGGTGAGCCTTAAGCATTAGGCTTCCCAATGGAGCACGACAACTATTTGAAGGAAGTTGTAGTCCACAGTGAAACCTGTGAATGCCTCCCACATGCCTCTGAACCCCCAATCAATCTGGAGTCCAGCGCAGCTTCAACAAAACCCATCTCCTTTGTTTCCTTCTCCACTCCCTTCCGCTGTCCCCTACCAAGATCAGGTTATTGCATACTTTATAAGATTAAAATGGCTTTGCTTCTTTTGTAGGTGCTAAACCTGCCCCTGGGATATGCTTTGAGAGAGTCAATTCTGCAGGTGATCCTTATGGAAACTGTGGGAAGGATTCCAAAAGTTCTTTTGCCAAGTGTGAACCTAGGTATATGCTCTTGTCATGCCTAATTGGAAAAGAGGTTGGAACTGTGCCAATGGTAGATGCTAACATTATTAAAATGATTAACATTATTTCTTTTCCCTTTAGAGATGCTAAGTGTGGAAAAATTCAGTGTCAAGGGGGAGCAAATCGGCCTGTAATTGGTACCAATGCTGTCTCCATAGAAACAAACATCCCATTACAAGGAGGAGGCAAAATTCTATGCCGTGGAACCCACGTATACCTGGGCGATGACATGCCTGACCCTGGTCTTGTCCTTGCTGGAACCAAATGTGAAGATGGAAAAGTAAGGCTGAAAAAATCTTATTCCCAATAATCCAGTCTGTGTGTCTAAAGGAAAACTCAGTCTTGGTCTTTACAAATGAAAGTCACACTTTCTGCATTTTGTAGTAAAGGTTTGGCAGGCCAAATGAAGATGCTTATGCAAACAATTATGCTGTTTAAGTATACTCAAGAGTTTTTTTGAGAATGAATGGAATCAGTTTGTTGTTTAGCTAGAAGGCATGACTATCAATTTTTACATAAAAGTGCTGAAAAGGGAATTTATTGTGCCAGTGAAAGTCATTCTGTCTGTATTTTAACATGCTGCAGCCAACTATTGACAAATTATTTCTGAATAGAATTGAATGAAGAAAGAGTGAGTGATGGTGGCTAAATGTAGAGCTGCATATCAGCTTGATTATCAGTTCATCACTGAATGTGATTTACAGAATTTCCTGTATCCAGAAGAATCAGCTGTGCTGATGAGAGAGTTCAAGTTATTCACTTATAATATTTACATACAATTTAATATGGAAAATCTCTGACCAGTTTAATTTTCATTAAAGTCCATTTAAAATATCAGTATCACAGCATTATAACCAAAAGAACAAAGAAATATAAATTAGAAACAGTGCATCCATCAATAAAACATTCAGTGAAACATTAATAAAACAATAAAAAGATCAGTGTGGTGGACCTTATGAGCCGAGAAAAGCCTGCATAAATGAATGGATCTACAGGAGGCATTTGTAACTTGCCACTATAACCTACTGAACAAAGATAAAATTCACATTAATTGCTCCATCTACTTTTGCTTCCAGCCTCACCCACCACTGGCTTATAGCCCTCAGAAGGTTGGCCAGAACAGAATACTGCCCTAGGGCTAAAAAGGATTCCCCACAGAGATGTTAAATAGCACTGCGGACAAGGTGATGCCTTGTGACAACTGGCAGTTCAGTTGCTAGGAGGCCAAAACTGGCCTTATAAGTAAGAGTGGTGCCACCATAAAGCAGTACCCCTAACTCATGCATGCAGTTTAAGAGGATACGATTGTCAGTGGTATTAAAGGCTGCTGTGAGATCAAGCAGAGGCAACAGGGTTGCACTCCCCCAACCCTCTCCTGTAAAAAAGTTATCGATCAGAGCGACCAAGCTAAGTATTGCGCTATACAACCATTTCTCCCAGAGTTTAATTGTGGACTGTTGAATTTATTTAAGAAGGGGGGGAGGGGCTATGAAAAGTGCCAACGACTGCTGGACAGATCACCAATTAATACGTTCCACAATGGCTATCAAGATTATACTTCAACATAGGCTTCAAGGAAGGAAACCAAGGCACAAAATGAACACTCAAGCCCTTCAAAATCCTATTAAGCGGGATTGTTTCCAAACACCTCTTAAGGGCCATTTGCTCTCGGAGTTCCCTGATAACATCGAGGAAAGCTGGACCCAAGCTAAAGACATTCCTTATTGCAGCCTGTGAACAAACTATTGGATACCAAACCAAGAAACAGCAGGACTGGTTTGATGAGAATGATAGTGAGATTGAACGCATTATTAAAAAGGAAGATCTTTCAGATCTGGTAGAGAGATAGAAACTGCGCCACTAAGAAAAAAACCTATGCCAACACTAAGGTTCAAAGAAGAACTAGAGAACTAAAGAACACCTGGTGGATAAAAGAAGCTCAAGAGATCCAGCACTTAGATAACACTCATGATGCATAGTGTTTCTTTAAAGCCACAAAGACCATCTATGTGCCAATAAATCATGGCATATGCCCCCTATGCTCAACAAGACGGTACCACACTTCTAAAAGATAAAGAACAGATATATCGAACAGATGGAATGCTCTTTAATCTGAATAGGCTGAAAGCAAAAAGTAAGGTTACCATAACTTCTGTCATAGAGCTTATGAAAACATCCCAAAAAAAAACAAAGTGCTGCACCAACTAGCACAAAATAACCCCTCTGCAGTGCCACAAATCCAACTCAATGGTGTAACGGAGAGTGTCGATCACTTCTCCTACCTGGACAGTTATCTTTCCACAAGTGCCAACATTGATGCTGAAATACAGCATTGCCTGAGCTCTGTGAGTGCAGCTTTCTCCCGATTGAAGTCCAGAGTGTTTGAGGACCGGGCCTTTCACAGGAAAACCAAAATGCTTGTTTACAAAGCTACCAACCTTGGACTACCAACCTTTATAAGTGGGCCACTTATAAACACCACCTCCAACTCCTTGAAAGATTCCATCAATGCTGTCTCTGAAAAATGTTACATATCACTTGGGAAGACAGGCAAACTAAGGCCAGTGTACTGGAAGAAGCAAAGATCACCAATGTCGAAGCAATGATTCATCAACATCAATTTCGTTGGACTGGTCATGTTGTTCGGATTCCTGATTATCGTCTTCTAAAGCAACTACTCTATTCCGAACTTACAAATGGAAAGCATAATGCTGACGGTCAACAAAAGAGGTTTAAAGATTCTCTCAAGGCAAATATTTAAAAAGTAGTATAAACACTGACAACTGGGAAACACTGGCCTATGAGTGCTCCAATTGGAGAACAGCCTTTACCAAAGGTGTTGTGGATGTTGAAGACGCTCAAACTCAGGACAAAAGGGAGAAGCATACTAAGAGGAAGGCACATCTGGCAAACCCTCACCTTGATCAACTTCCGCCCAGAAACCTATGTCCCCACTGTGGAAAGATGTGTGGATCCAGAATTGGCCTCCACAGTCACTTACGGACTCACTGTTAAGACCGTGTTCATGGAAGACAGTCTTACTTGGCTACAAGTGATCGCCACAGAAGAAGCTTTTTTGCAAAAATTAATTCACATGCTGCTGTATTTCCTGGAGCTCATGGTGTTTCCGATTGGCTTATAGAAAATACCTTGGCCTGACAAATAATAACCATTATACGTAGTGGCTTTTGACTGATACTTCCGTCTGCTTGTTCATTAGCTATTTGTTTTGGCGTACTTCAAATCTGGGGACGTTGCCAAGATGAACAGCAGCTTCTGCAAGACAAAGGCAAAGCCTTTCAGTTCTAAGGGAATAAGAAGCATATTGCTTAATGTATCTGTGCACAGATTTTGCCAGGATTTCTATGTACAGTGGTAATCCAAGAAAATAAAATTATGAAAAGACATGGGAAACTACAGCTAAGAATTTGATACAAGCAGTGTTAAAGGGGACTTCTGTGTTATTGGCAGATTGCATTTCAAGAGAAGACATTTGGGTATATTTTGTCAAAGCCTCAAAACTTCTTATTGCTTTTGAGGTTTCAGTAGTTCCCACTGTAGTTAGTTCCCACTGACAGCAAACTTTAAACATAATGTGATTATGAGTTGAGTTTTATGTTCCAGGTTGCTCCAATGCAATGAGAATTGTACAGGAGCAGAACTCTACTCCTTTTGACAAAAACAAACGAAGTGCAGCAAAGCGTTATAAGGAAGATTTATGGTTATAAAACTATATTTAAAACATTTGTTCAAAGACACTGCTAGAAGGGAGTTCTGTGGTAGGAAATCAGTATTTGTGGAGACTGTCATAAGCTAGAAAGACCAATGAATTGACTGAATACAAGGCAGAGCCTTATATATACTAAAATATTACCGATTTTGTATTTGAATGGCTGATGTGTAAAACTGAAACATATTAGATCTATAAGCATAAACTGAACTAGTTCTGTCGAAATGTAACCAACCCCACTTTACTTGCAAGCTTTTAGTAGGCTGCAGATAGGGTGGCTATGTGTCCTATTTTACAAAGTTACTCCTCTTATTTAGAGATTTGTCAGAGGACAGTCATCCTCTGTTTGAAGGAGTCCTCTATTTGCAGGGCTCTTCAGTCCAAGTCCAGGGAGCACAAGTTGTCCATCATCAGTCAGAATCTGGACAGAAGACTATTCATGAGATGTATTTCTGTTTAAGTAATATTTATTCCTAAATTTGCAAGTATACATAGAAATTAGCAGCAACAAATTTTATGCAAATCTATGTACTTTTTGGTGATGTCTTCATACTCTTTAGTGATATGTGAATGGCTCTCCTAGTTACCACTTTCAGCTCTTAAGTATGCATGATTTTAACAGCTGCCCTTTTAATGTGAACAGAATTCTTTTTTTAAAAAAAAATAATTTTTATTAATTTTCCAAACATGTAATAAAAACAAACAGTAAAACAAAACAAAACATACAAACAAATAAACATGTATAATTTCATAAACTCATTTTCCTTCACCTTATTTCCCGGACTTCCCCATACCTCCCTTTTTCTGCATCCTTATTTTTTCCTTTTAACAGCAACCCTCCATTTAATTAATTAACTCATCTTCTTTATAATTCCCTTAAATTTATGATTTACAGCTGCAATTCTCTGTTTCTTAACACCATAACATCTCAGCACTCCTCAATGTTACAACAATTTTTAAGGTATATTTTAAATTTCTTCCAATCTTCTTCCACTGTCTCGCTCCCCTGGTCACGGATTCTGCCGGTCATCTCTGCCATTCCCATGTAGTCAATCACCTTCGCTTGCCATTCTTCCAGAGTGGGTAGCTGCTGCGTCTTCCAATACTTTGCCAGAAGAATTCTTGCTGCTGTGGTAGCATACATAAAAAAAGTTCTGTCCTTCCTTGGCACCAGTTGGCCCACCATGCCCAGGAGAAAAGTCTCTGGTTTTTTAGAAAATGTCCATTTAAGGACCTTTTTAATTTCATTATAGATCATTTCCCAGTAGGCTTTAATCTTCGGGCAGGTCCACCAAAGGTGATAGAAAGTACCTTCAGTCTCATTACATTTCCAACATTTATTATTGGGCAAATGATAAATTTTTGCAAGTTTGACTGGGGTCATGTACCACCTGTAGATCATTTTCATTATGTTTTCTCTCAAAGCATTACAAGCCGTAAATCTAACACCAGTATTCCATAACCTTTCCCAGTCATCAAACATAATGTCATGACCTATGTCTTGTGCCCATTTGATCATAGCTGATTTTACTGTTTCATCTTGTGTATTCCATTTCAGCAGCAAATTATACATTCTTGACAAGTTCTTAGTATTGGGTTCTAACAATTCTGTTTCTAATTTCGACCTCTCCATCTGAAAACCTATTTTCCTGTCCTGTTTGAATACCTCGTTTATCTGAAGGTAGTGCAACCAATCTCGTACTTTAGACTTTAATTTGTCATAACTCTGTAATTTAACCCTTTCACCATCTTGCTCTACAATTTCACAATATTTTGGCCATTTGGACTCCATATTAAGTTTTTTTGTCTCTTTAGCTTCCATTGGTGATAGCCACCTGGGAGTTTTACTTTCCAGTAGATCTTTTAATGTGAACAGAATTCTTTGTACCATTGAATTCTAGATTATTTGTTTGTGAACCATGCTGTAATTATACCATGTTCCTTATACCATGTTCCTTCCTTATGTGTTTTGAGGCTGCTTCACTTCCTTCCCATTTTTCCTCTTTTCCCTAGGGAATATTTGCCTTGCTTAAGCAGCCTTGTTGTCTTCTGCTTCACTCCCCCCACCCCCGCTTCTTATATGATTGTGATTGACTTTTATTCCTGCTGAAATAAGCCCCAAATTTAGAGGTGTGCAGGTGCTATATGTCATATATCTGACTGTTGACCTGGCATCTAATACTCATTCCAGCAGCATATAGTCTTTTCTCAGCTTGGATGATTTATCAGACAACCTGTAAATGGGTCGTTTTAGTTTGCATTGTGCTCTGCTTTTATTGCAGTGTCAATCTTGCTTTGTCCCGGCCTTTCAGCTACAGTGGAATAGTGAAGTTAACTCTCTGTAACAATTGCATAAAGTCTCAAATGAATGCTTTTGATTACATGCCACTCCCTGTTTGTTCATTTCTCCAGAGATAAAATGCAAATGCATCTTTTTTAGACCAGTGTGAACATAATGGCTATATCTAAAGTGCAACTCTGCATGCATGTGATTCCAAAAGAAAATTAGTTTGTGAATGGGTGGAGGGATACTGCCATAACTTTCTGAATGTAGTATAGGAGTAGCCAACGTGAGGCCCACCAGATGCTATTAGATGACAAATCATTGTGCCTGGCCATAGGCCAGGAGGCTGATGGGAGGGCATGACATTGGCTAATCCTGAGTAAATGAGCTCCAATTCTGGCCCATCTTGGGACTCTGCCTGGGCCATAGCCTTCACCAGCCCTGCTCCATGTGCTCCCTGACTTTGCCTGGCTGGACTATGTCTTTGAACTGTTACAAGATTGCTTGCCCAGATAGAGGCTGGAGAAATGTGTGAGGGAAAGTGTAGAAACACCTGGTTTTTGTGTGCCTTGAATTTAGCCTGCTGTACAAAGGTAAGAGTTGCATCCATTGCCCCCACCCACTTCTGCCTCTGGTCTGTGCACCATTGGCATGGAAAGCTGACCCTGGGGTTTGGGGAGTGGTGGGCAGATATTGCACCTGCTTTCAACAATGCAAACGATTTAACATATGAGGTGAACACTTTCACCGTATCTCTTCCCTCCTGTATTGCTTTGTTTTTGCTTCAAGCGAGAAATTGCATAAGTAGGGATTGGACATTGCCATAGAGCTTTGAGCTCATGGATTATGTTGCCTCTGTGTTGGAGGACAGGGATATCATGTGAAGAGGAGCGCCACCCCAAGTTTCATGCTGATACATGCTTCCCTCTTCTTTATCAAGTGAGAAGTTCCAGGGGCAGTGCCATTGGTTTAATTTCCTTTGGATGAAATAGCAATGGGGTAAAACTTTCAGACCCTTCATGGATCACTCCCTTGCCGTGGCGAAGGGGCTTGAATAACTCAGAGAAGCTATGAACTATGCCGAGCAGGGCACCCAAGATGGACAGGTCATAGTGGAGAGTTTTGACCAAACGTGAGAATTGATGCTTTTGAATTATGGTGCTGGAGGAGACTCTTGAGAGTCCCATGGACTGCAAGAAGATCAAACCTATCCATTCTTAAGGAAATCACCCCTGAGTGCTCACTGGAAGGACAGATCCTGAAGCTGAGGCTCCAATACTTTGGCCACCTCATGAGAAGAGAAGACTCCCTGGAAAAGACCCTGATGTTGGGAAAGATGGAGGGCACAAGGAGAAGGGGACGACAGAGGATGAGATGGTTGGATAGTGTTCTCGAAGCTACCAGCATGAGTTTGACTAAACTGTGGGAGGCAGTGGAAGACAGAAGTGCCTGGTGTGCTCTGGTCCATGGGGTCACAAAGAGTTGGACACGACTAAATGACTAAACAACAACAAAAAACTTTCAGATATTTGCTTTATTAACAAATATGCAGGCAGCACATAGGTGAAGATGTAAGCAAGCTCTCCTATAGCAGGCAGCAGATTCACAGGAAGTAACTTGTGCAGTCTTTGCAATGCTGTGCTCTAGTTTCGAACTAACTCTGGCTAAGGATTCTCAGCTCTCTATCTCTGTCAGTTCACAAACTGCAAACTGCCCTCTCACACACAGATGTTCAGACACACATGCACACACACTGCAGAGAATCAGTGTGAGACGCTGCATCTGCAGGTGAATTTCTTATTCATAGAAAATCCCAAAACCGTTAAAGAAACATTAAGGTTCTTTTGTCAAATCCATGATTTCAATCAAGTAATGCTTTTAAGCAAAACTGTAGTGATAGATCCATTTGCTGTGTATCTGAAGAAGTGTGCATGCACACGAAAGCTCATACCAAGAACTAACTTAGTTGGTCTTTAAGGTGCTACTGGAAGGAAATTTTTTTGTTTTAAATAAGTCTAAACTTGAAATCAGAGTAGATAGATAATTTTATGATGGGTATTAGTAAGAGGATATATTACCATATTTCACTGCATACCGGTCGCCACCGTGTAATAGACACACACCCTTTCCGGACCCCAAAATTTGTCCCAGAGCATTCCCCGCATAATAGTCACTGGGGTAATTCTGAGGCAAGCTGCGGGTCCACATGGGGGGGGCATTCCTGGTGGCTCCTGAGGCAGCGAGGGCTGGAGTTTGGGCCCCCATTGGCTTGTCCCCGAGCGGAGGTAGCTGGGGAGGTCAGGCAAAGGCAGGCCAGGGCTGCTGCTGCTGCTATTGCCACCACCTTGGGTCTCTGGAGTCAAGAGGCAAGGAGGCAGCTTGGTCATGGCACTATGGGCTCTTGCTGCGTGCTCTGGCCTTGAGGCGAGGCAAAGCCAGAACTAAGTTGCTGCTACTGCTGCTGCCGCCGCCACTCACCTTTGGCTCTCTTAGGGTCACCCCAGCCAAGAAGGGGAAGCAGCAGGTGAGCGACCACCTCCGCTGCCCATCTGCAACCCCTTCCCTCTGCCTCCATCCCGTAATTCACCGCATAATGGTTGCACCCCCCTTTTTGGAAAGGAAAAATCAGCACAAAAGCATGTGACCATTACACATTGAAATACAGTAATTATAATGGATCCTCTATAGACCAATGTGTGTGAGTTAGCACAAAGGGTGGGGGCTAGTGCCTGTTTTTAAAGAGCCCAAGTTTCAGAGTCCAAATCCCATTGTTAGGCATATTTTCTGAATCATAAGAACTGAGGTTTTAAACCTTCTTTTTATAATGTTTCAGCTCCTTAAGGCAGCTGGGACACCTTCCCCCCTTTTCAGTAAAACAGAGCGTAGAATGCAAGGTTAGTTTAAAATGGTTTGCCCACAGTTACTAGGTCTCAGGCTTGCATTATGCTTATTAGAAATGATAAGAAATGCAGGTGAATGTTCTTAGTTGAAAAATACAGCAAGAGCAACCTCAGAAACATATCCGAGGCAGATAGCTATGTTAAAGCATGTTTGTTCCATCCTGAAGCAGAGAGAGAGGAACAGGAAACAAACCTTCCTTCCTGCCTCCACAAAGGTGATTGGGTGTGACCTAGCCTTCTCTAGCAATTTACAGCTATGTGGACATTAACCCCTTTGGTTACTAACTAGCACAGACATGCATTGTTGGGCTTGACTGCAAACTCTTCCACCTTTTAAGCATTTCTCGAAAGCAAAGCACAGAAAAAAGTAAGATAAGCATATACATTGTCTGGCAATAGTCAGCCTGCTCTCCTTTTCTTCTTGTATAGATCTGCCTTAACCGCCGCTGCCAAAATACCAGCGTATTTGGGGTTCATGAATGTGCAACAAAATGTCACGGACGTGGAGTAAGTATTGCAGATCCAATTTTTTACAGTCAGCCAACACCCAGCAGAGCAATGAAGTATTCATTGGTTACAGCTTTTGAAATCTATGATGATTTGTCATATATCTGTCAATGTTTTTTTCCCAAAGTATCCTTCGAAAAGGATCAAGTTGAATGCTCTTTTTAGTGTCCAAGAAAGGAAACGTGTTTTTTACCTAACACAGAAATACCTATGTTTAAAATATCTGTATATTTCTAAAAATTAATCTTCCAAAGGTTTACAACATCATTGTCTTTCTACAAATTGATGTTCTGTGGCTAAAAAAATAAAATTTCATTCTCTTTTACATAATTTTGAACCTAACATTAATTCAAAAACTTCCTGTTAATGTTTCACATATTACACTCTGATTTGGGCCTCAAACCTGAGTTTTGTAGCTGAGCTTAGATATTTTTAAAAATGAACACTTTGTTATTTATTTGTTTGTTTATATTTATATATGTGGCCCTTCCAACTGCCAGGGCAGTTTACATTAAAAATCAATTAAACGTTTAAAATATAAATACAACCTGCATAATAGACCAAAAGGGCAGGAAGATCTCAAAAACAACATAAGAATAAGCAAGCAAGATTGAAATTGTGTTGAAAAAGCCTGGGAATTTTGTTTGAAAGGCCTCTCTCTGGTAATCATCTGCCTTAACCTGCAGATCTTTAAAGTGACTATACAATGTGTTATAAATTATGTGGTCTCACTCCAGTAATTGATGTTAAGCATCTTAGTGTTAAACTCAGATGCCTGCCCTTTTGCACAGGTTCTCTGAATTCCTTAAGACATTTAGATTAGCTCCCAGCATTTACCTGTTTTTACTGCCAGTTCTTAAAGCATGAGGTCAGGTGGAAACTCAGCTATAATTCTGTGGATTGTGGATTTGAGTCTCACTTGATCATCCACCGATTGGCTTTTTTTAGTTTCTTCAGTGGACTGAGGAAATAACAGGCAAGTGGGCATAAATGACGAAAAGACAATAGTTTTATTAATACAAAATACAAGTAGGGGGCCTGAAGAACTACCTACCTCCTTTTGCAACTTTCAAACAATTCTGTGGCTACAGTTCCACCACTGCTTTTTAATTCTGCAGTTGACTTTTTTTTAGTTCCATTAGGAGATACATTTTGAACCAAGTTTCTGTGGAGCAGTGCAGCCTGTAATCACATCAAGATGTAGTGTTGCCCTATTTTAATAACTTTTAATTATTATTGAGTACAGTTTTCGGACAGACAGTGGAGAGCCCTCATGTTCATGTACTGTTTTCCATACTCATGTGCATATTTCCCTTTGTTGTTAAGGTCTGCAACAATAAAAAAAATTGCCATTGTGAGGCCCACTGGGCTCCTCCCTTTTGTGACAAGGCAGGATTTGGTGGCAGTGTAGACAGCGGGCCAGTTAGACAATCTGGTAAGTAAATGACTTAATTGCAGAGCAAGCTTTATTGTGAAGCAAAAGCCATACGGTGTTTGCTGTGGGCACCAAGTTTACAGAGGACTCCAGAGTTCGTGTCCATTTCTGGATTTCCTATTCCCTGGTTCGTTTGTTACCTCGGTCAGCTCTCTTGCAGATTGAAAATGCTCGTGCAAGTGGTCCACTTATGTGAGCAATGTGATGTTGTGGGAATAAGCTCAAGGAAGATCACAGATAAAGTCTGTGCAAGTCAGGGCACACACTGCTTGTGTTTTCTTCTCAGTTGCTGCCAGACTATAGTAGCAATCATAGATGTGCTAATAGAAAACAATGTTTCAAACTCTTGAAGAAGTACTTAATTATTTATCAAGATAATAATTTAACCTGGGTGAAAACTGCTTTTTGCAGCCTCATCAAAGGCATTGGTTGTCCTGACAGAGCAGGATGTGCTAGACAAGGATGTTTTTCCTGCAACAGGCAGAGCCCTAAACAGTCTTGTGCCCCCTTTCTTTGACTAACTACTTAGTACTTAGGGCTCTACTACACATGCATTTCAGCACTCAGTTTGTTTTCCATTTCCGCAAAAAACATGCCTAGAGTACACACTATGAATTCCACAAGTTGCATTTTTTCTTCATTTTACGCTGAATGCTAAGCGTATAAAAGAGCAAATAAAAAAGTTTGTTCTTTTTTCTCCCTTCTTTTGTAAACAAGACATAAGGCATAAGCGTGGTGTCTGACATAAACATAATCAAAGTTAATTTGGGGGCTAAACTAAATTTGGGCAGGGGGCGTTGGGTGGATCTTTGCACCCCAGCAGCACATATGCTAAAAGCTGCCCTGCTTCCTGCAGTTGCGAGTGGAATTCCCTCTGTGTGAGAGCTTGTTTTTTCCTGCTCTTTTCCACTTTGCTATTTGCTTGAACAAGAGCTCACTCACCTGGGAGTGCAGATAGACACCAACCCATTCCTGCATGTGCCTCAAGCTGGAAAGGGTGGTGGTGATGGAGATGACAGCCTGGGTGGTGACTTCCCAGTCCATGGACTTGATGGTGTTGCTTCAGTTGCCAGGGGTGCGTGGTCTCCTGCCACCATCTGGTGTCATGGGGACAGCACCACTTCAGGTTTCTACAGCAACAGCTGCATCAGATATGGTTCATCTGTGCCTGAAGTTCCACAGGATTTGACTTCCCTCTTTTAACTTTATCCCATGCTCTGATGTCTGTGGCTGTACTCCTAGCTTAACTAATGTGACAGAAGAATCCAACCTACATTTACATATACAGCTAGGATTTGGCTTGGAAATGATATCGCTTTTTGTATGAACAGTGCTATTGAAAAGCAAATTAGATTGCATTTACTGCATACCAGTCCCTGTAATGAATTGTAATGCTGAGCTTGTGACATCATAATAATATCCATATCAATGCAGTGGCATTACAATTTCACAGCAAGATATACAGTAGCTGACTAAAGGGGGAACTGTAAGAGAGAGACCTTTGCTATAATAATCACACACAGGAGTTCAACAAGCAAATTAGACCACAGTACTAAACTCATTTCAGAGCAGTCCTATGGACAGGGCCAACTCCAGCTTTGAGGGGCCCTCACCACTGGATAACTTTTAGCTCTACTTGAGTGTAAATAAATCAAGTAATGTACATGCATGTGTGAAATAGCCCATATTTCCAAGTGAATAATGAATTTAGTCTGCACTCCCGTTTTGTCTGCATCTAGTTCATCCCCACTTGTTTGGGAAGTGGTACGCACATTGTGTTTGCCACAATCCATACCTATCCTGTACAATGATGTTTCTTATGAAATACTGTGTTTTGGCTGATTTCCCCCTACCTAAACCCGCTTTGATCTACATTAAGACAAAGAAATTATCTAGCTGCATTTTAAGCCAGGAATGCGTACCATAGCCGTAGTATGTAGGGATGCTAATCTATATCATGGTTTTGTGTGTGTGAACTGTAAGCTATTTGCAGTAGCTAGAAAAGGGAAACTGATTTCATGTAATTTGTACATCAAGATCGACTACCTTCATTTTACGCTTCGTTTTATTTTTAGAAGAGCTGCATTTCACATTAACATGTCCTGCTACTTTAACAATCTGTTTGCAATGACAAAACTGTGCTTTGTAAATTAGGGGCTTCTACAGAAGCTAATTGTTCTTTTACACTTGACCCCTTACTAAAGTGGCTTAAATTATTATCTGAGCGTTTGCATATCAACTGTGTCTGATTAAAAAAATATAGAAATATGGCTTAAGTATCTTTAAAAAATTAAGTAAAGCTTAACGCTACATTAAGTCTGTTATTTTTTAAGATGCCAGACACAAAACTTGTTTTTTCTACAATGGACTAACAAAGCTGCGCCTCTGAAAATCTGTAAATAACCTGGTGAGCTTTACTCAAAACTATTTCACACACTTGCTTTATCTTTCTGACACCTCAAATAATATACAAGAGAGTTATGTGAAGACAAATTATTTTTAATTGCTTATTCTGAGTTCCATGCAATTGGTTTAGTTTTTACTACTGAAGCTCTGCCCTGAAGAAAAGTGCAGTGGGATGTCCTGCTGTTACCCATTTTCTCCTCTGTTTCCTATCAACCCCCATTAATATTTACAGCAAATATACAAAAAAAAAAAAAAAAAAAAACGAGGGCAAGAATAGGTATGGAGGGTGTCAGTGCTGAAACACAGGACCTCTTCTTGCTATGGAGCAGCGTGGTTGCCATTTATTTCCCCACAGTATTTTTCCATGAAGTTACTAAACTCTGCTATAGTAGTAACATGGGATATGAAAACAAAGTTGGAGAAATGAGAAGAGCCATGCCATTTTCAAGGCGGTTGAGGTGGGTGGGACCCATAGTAGTAGTTTTGCCATGGCTCCTGCATGTAATTCCACAGTCCCATATAATTTATGCATTCCTACATTATAGGAGCAAAGAGGATGGAGACACAGGGGAGCAGCAACCATGCCACTTCTCCTAATATACAAGTTAGCTGAGAAAAACAAAATGTTTGTTTTTGACTGAAGGTTAGTTATACTGTGGACATCAGGTAGACAAGACTGGTCTGGTCATAAGAACTGTGGATTTGTTTGTTTGGTTTCAGATAAAAGAAGCTTAATAATAGGGCTACTCATAACCACCCTGTGCCTTCTGGTTGCTGGTTCACTTATGTACATCAAAAGGAAGATCTTGATTAGATTGTTCTTGATTAATAAGAAGACTACAATAGAGAAACTAAGGTATGATATATAAGTACTCTCTTTTGTAAAATGAACCATGATAGAGATCACACAAGGTTATTACACGCTAAGTCTAAAAATCTTTATTGACAGCAGTGGGAAAGGCAGCTTTTCCTCCTATGGCTGCTGCAGATGAGAAGATGATGCTTCATATTGAGATTGAGGATGTTTGGCTTCTCCCAAGGGGAATTGTACTGGGTGCAGAGAACACAGCTGTCCCAAGGGCTTACATGGGACAACCATTCTTTCCCCCATACAATTTCTGCTGGGAGCAATGGAATATCATCAAGCCTTGTTACTCCCACAGGGACTCTCTGTTCATTTCAAGGCACACAATGACAAGGAGTCCTGTGCTCTAGCACTCGGGCTTTTAGGTGACTGGAAGCACTATTTCAAAGGTTTTAAAAGGGGGAATAGGGAGAGAGAATGGAGGTGTGCAAACATTTAACTGTGCTTTTAGGTGTGTGCTTCTAGGTAGGTTTTTAAAATTCCACTTCAGAATGGGATGGGCTTAGTCCTGTCCCCTTTGAGAACTGGGATGGACCAGACTCTTAATGGGTCTGTCCATCCCTGCTCTGGGCAAATAAAAATATCACCCTCTACTGCTTACCCATGCATCAAATGGAGGTCATTGCCAGACTAGCACAGGTGGCGAGGCCCTCATATAAGAGGGTTGTTTCAGAAAACTACATGCTTGCCTTTTTCTCAGAGCACTTCTCAGATTGCATCAAGGCCACAGGGACCTGCTATTCAGACACACCCTTCTTTTTATTTCACTTTGTGGGTAAGCAGTTAAAAAGGGAAGTTTGCCTTTATTTTGGCCTGCTTAAAATACTGAAACCTTGGAGTAGCATTGTTGTTTCTAGTCCACTGAATGAACCACAATATCCATAGCTGAGGTCATTACAGCTTAAGCACCAGCATCACTAGAAGAGTCTCTCGGGTGTTGTGAAGCAGCATTTCCACAGATTGCAAGAGCTAATTTAACAGACTAGTGGCTCTAAACAAAAAAATCAATATTTTTTTTTATTCCTGCTGCAAGTGTGGTGGATGGATTTTACTTTCACTGTTTACTAAAGAAAGTAAAGATTTTTTTAAAAAATCCTGTGTTAAAAGTATACACACATGTATGTATTTCAGGTCTGTGACTCCAGCAAGGCCTTCCAGTTCATTTGAACCTAATCATGTTTCTATCACAACCCGCAGTAGTACAGATCTGGTGAAAAAGTCACAAAATTTGAATACACCTAAGGTAGGTTCTCACACAAAGTATTGCTGATAAAAATATTTCCCATAAGTTTGAAGTGTTTTTATATGGGGTGATATAATGAAATAGTGAAATTTTAGAGTATTTCTATTAATACATGAAATAAAGGGAAAGCCATCTAGGCCTAAAAATGTACTTTGGTCTCTAAGTTCTAGACAGATGGAGAAAATAGAGAAAATAAATAAATGTATTTTGACTGTGGATTGCAGCCACCATCTCAGACAGGGGCAATGCTTTCTAACATTCAAGGATTAGTGTTCGAGTAAGCTTCTGGAAACTTAATTGGTTGTTCCTTGACTTCAGGAAAGGAAAAGTGGCCATATTAAAAATGAAACAAGTGGCAGTTAAAAGCAATCTTGAAAGCAATAGTGTTTACTATTAATTATAAGATACGTCTGAGAAGAACTATAGGGATCCACTCCAGTGAAAGTTAAGTATTTTAGGTCCCATTGATTTCAGTGGGAGAGTTAATCTCATACTTAGAACACAGAGTCTTCCCCACTGCGATCCCCTCCTCTTGCTTTCTCTCTTTCACTCAAATCAGTGAAATCTAAAAAGGCCAAACTTTGGCCTCATCATGCTTAAACTATAATTGATTTGGTATAATATTGTTTTATGGATCTGCAGAGACATGATCCACAAGGACTGCAACGATATCACACAGGTAATGTTAGCAATCCTGTGAAGACACAGAATACACCATGGTCAAGCCCACCAGAGCGTATTGTCCCACCACTGTGTGAATTACCATGTCCGCAGCCCACTTCCAGAAGGTTGCTGCCTGCCAGCCCCTCACCCAGATGTGATCAGGTACGTGTTTGTGTGTTTATCCGTTTCAACTCTATGGCACCTACAGCCACCATCGGTCCAGAGCAGAACTGGATTGCTAGCTATTTAGATGTCATATTGATTCTTCAAATCACACCACAGAATAGTTTGCTCCATTTTAGTCAATCTCTCTCTTTTGTTATGTCTTTGTTGGTTGATTTCATAGCAGAGTGAAAGGGCATGCTGAAACGGCATGTAATTATTGTTCATACCTCCATTCTAAATATTACCATTGACATCTCTTCCTGCTACACCAGCATATTGTGGTACTTTGTGGCATCTTTCTGATGTATATGCTTACAATATGCGTGCCATCTTAAGGATCGGAATGCCCCTTATCCCATAATTCAAGAACACCCTTCCTGTGGGAAGCTGGAATGAAAGTGTTTTTCTAATTTTTCTAAATGCAAGAAGTGCATTTTTACATGCAGAATCATTCAAACATGCAACCCCCTTGCAGTTTCAGACTGTGCTATATGTCGTCTGTGGAATCTGGAGACTGAGTCAATGAGTCAATTTTATTTTATTTAGAGCCATAAGAGCCATTTAGAGAATAAGGAATAAATGGGAGGAGGTAAATGGCCAGTTAACTCAGCTCTTATCTACCCAGGGAACTGGACTGGCTTTTCATTGCACAGTGTGTTCTGGGCCTCATATACTTCCCCAAATCAGTTTAGAGGGGTGATTTTGGTAAGAAAAACAAACCACAGGGAAAGAAATATGTTTCCTCTCCCATATGCAATCATGTCATCAAGACTGTTACCTCCCCAATTGCTTAAAATTAGAGGGGAAAATATCAGGGAAAATATTTGCATAGCTGAGTCTCACCCTTTGTCTCTGGAACTCACAATCGAAAGATATATAGATATTGCTGTGAAGCATGTGTTTTAAAATGTGAAATTGGGTATATTATGACCCTTTTATGTTTCATATCCGAAGACAGTCCACAGGAATTTTATACTGAAGTACTATTTATAACTGCCTAATGTATAAAAACATTTTTTCGTAAGTAACAAGAGCTAGCGTTTATATTGAAAACCATTTCCCTGGCTTACATGTAAAAAACTGACACATTTAAAAAGCCCCCAAAATTACTGATCTAAAGCTAAAGGAATAAATCCATCTGATCTATAAAGACTTACAGTAACACTCCCTGGGGAAACTGGGTCAGTGAACAGGCCTCCCCAGCACACAGAACTTTAGCAATAATGCAAATGATAGCTCTAAGGGCCATCCTGCAACACATCCCCAAAAGGTTGGAACCTATTTTCATGTCTATTTCTATATATTGCCCTGATTGTACTGACAACCTCTCCTGAGGTAGGGGATTGTTCTTCTAACACTGCAATTTTTATCTCCAAATGAAGCACTTTACATGTTGCTGTTGCTATTTATTAACTGATTTATATAAGATCCACCTCTCTAGGCAGTTCACAAACTCTAAGGAGTGAATAGCAGCATTTCACAGACGAAGTCAGGAGAACTCTCCACTTGTACATCTACATGTGCAGAAAACTCTGATTAATGTCAAATAGATGTTCATGGGGGAGCGTGGTGACAGCAGTGGTTGTGGCTGGTCCATGCAGCTCCACACATTCATTTCACGTATGGAGAGAGTCACATGTATCATATAAATATAATTATACAATCTTTGTTTCATAAATGCTCTTCATACTGGAAAAACCTGTTATGTAATAAAATCTTTTCCCTTCTGATAAAACATGACCCTTTCCCCCCTCTCAAAGTATGTTACTGCTAAGAGCTACAGTAATAGAATTGTAAGTTATAAACATATAGTATTTCAGTAATATTTCTTCTCCATATGTTTCAGCTTCTGTTTTCCTTGTAAAGTCTGAAAAAAATAAAGTCTGAGCTGTTTTCCTCTTGTGAAATCTAGCACCTCTACTGATATGTATTTTAACAGCAGCATTTCCTCCTTATAGGATGTAATTAAAGACACTCTTACTGCAGACTGTAATTTTTTTTTGAAATTAACCTACTTTGAACAATTCAGGCATAGCAACTGAAGTGTGTGTGTGTGTGTGTGTGTTGTCAATTCTTAAGAAGAGATCATCAGACTTATCTCTTGGTACCATCTTTCAAAGAAAAATGGAAACAGCATTTGCTATACCTATATTTGTGTCCAGCAATAATCTGTTCATATTGCCTAAAAGAAAAGAGATAGGAGAGATCTATGGTTCAATTTGTTGTAAATTTGAGGTGTCCCCATGATAGCTGTACTGTATTTTCTTTTTTGTTTTCAGCCCAATGCTAGTGGTCATACTGTTTTCCCTTTTTGAAACAGCAAAATCATGTGGTTAAAATACACTAGAGATTTGCTTAAAGGGATAATTTTGGACCTCCTTCAGAGGGAATCATTTCTGCACCTGTTTGGTTTTTATTTATTCATTAATATTCTTTCTTGTTTGGCGATCACTCGTAGCTGAGTATTGATGTATTTATTAAATATCTATACTGTCCTTCATCCAAGGATCACAGGGCAGTTTATAATATAAAAACACAAAAAACACATAGTAACAATGACAATAACCCCCTCCAAACGCCCCCCCCCCATTTAAAGCACTATATTGTCTCTTAAAAAGAGGGAAACAACAGAATGGAAAGAACCAGAGATCTGTTCAAGAAAATTGGAGATATGAAAGGAACATTTCGTACAAAGATTACCATAATAAAGGACAAAAGTGGTAAGAACCTAACAGAAGCAGAAGACATCAAGAAGAGGTGGCAAGAATACACAGAGGAATTATACCAGAAAGATGTGGATGGCTCGTGCACCCCAGGTAGTGTGGTTGCTGACCTTGAGCCAGACATCCTGGAGAGTGAAGTCAAATGGGCCTTAGAAAGCACCGCAAATAACAAGGCCAGTGGAAGTGATGGTATTCCAGCTGAACTATTTAAAATTTTAAAAGATGATGCTGTTAAGGTGCTACACTTAATATGCCAGCAAGTTTGGAAAACTCAGCAGTGGCCAGAGGATTGGAGAAGAGCAGTCTACATCCCAATCCCAAAGAAGGGCAGTGCCAAAGAATGCTCCAACTACCGCACAATTGCACTCATTTCACATGCTAGCAAGGTTATGCTTAAAATTCTACAAGGAAGGCTCAAGCAGTATGTCGACCGAGAACTCCCAGAAGTGCAAGCTGGATTTAGAAGAGACAGAGGAACCAGAGACCAAATTGCAAACGTGCGCTGGATTATGGAGAAAGCTAGAGAGTTCCAGAAAGACATCTACTTCTGCTTCATTGACTATGCAAAAGCCTTTGACCGTGTCGACCACAGCAAACTATGGCAAGTTCTTAAAGAAATGGGAGTCTGATCACCTCATCTGTCTCCTGAGAAATCTCGATGTGGGACAAGAAGCTACAGTTAGAACTGGATATGGAACAACTGATTGGTTCAAAATTGGGAAAGGAGTATGACAAGGCTGTATATTGTCTCCCTGCTTATTTAACTTATATGCAGAATTCATCATGCAAAAGGCCAGGCTGGATGAATCCCTAGCCGGAATTAAGATTGCCGGAAGAAATATCAACAACCTCAGATATGCAGATGACACAACCTTGATGGCAGAAAGTGAGGAGGAATTAGAGAACCTTTTATTGAGGGTGAAAGAAGAGACCGCAAAATATGGTCTGAAGCTCAACATCAAAAAAACTAAGATCATGGCCACTGGTCCCATCACCTCCTGGCAAATAGAAGGGGAAGAAATGGAGTCAGTGAGAGATTTTATTTTCTTGGGCTCCATGATCCCTGCAGATGGTGACAGCAGCCACGAAATTAAAAGACGCCTGCTTCTTGGGAGAAAAGCAATGACAAGCCTAGACAGCATCTTAAAAAGTAGAGACATCACCTTGCCAACAAAGGTCCGTATAGTAAAAGCTATGGTTTTCCCAGTAGTGATGAATGGAAGTGAGAGCTGGACCATAAAGAAGGCTGATCGCCAGAGAATTGATGCTTTTGAATTATGGTGCTGGAGGAGACTCTTGAGAGTCCCATGGACTGCAAGAAGATCAAACCTCTCCATTCTTAAGGAAATCAGCCCTGAGTGCTCACTGGAAGGACAGATCGTGAAGCTGAGGCTCCAATACTTTGGCCACCTCATGAGAAGAGAAGACTCCCTGGAAAAGACCCTGATGTTGGGAAAGATGGAGGGCACAAGCAGAAGGGGACGGCAGAGGACCAGATGGTTGGATAGTGTTCTTGAAGCTACCAGCATGATTTGACCAAACTGTGGGAGGCAGTGGAAGACAGGAGTGCCCGGCGTGCTTTGGTCCATGGGGTCACAAAGAGTCGGACACGACTAAACGACTAAACAACAACAACATTGTCTCTTAATATTGTACTTTCATTTTCTACAAATAGAAATAGTGAGGAGCCACATAATTTTAATGTTTGTTTCAATTTAAAGCATGATTTGAAGGACTTATGGGAAATAAATTATACTTTCATGACTGAAGAATTATATAATAAAATAGCTATTTCATTAATCTTATAGTAACAATTCTATGAACTTACATTGTATTATAGGAATCTTTCAAGCCAAGTCCTCCTCGAAAACCTTTGCCAGCTGATCCTCAGAAGAACAAATCTGCTCAGTTTAAGAGTTCCTCCACAGAAGTATTTGGGCTTCCAAAACCTGTGCCTCAAATTGCCCCTGTCAGGTTAGTTTGGCTGTTCACTTGTGCGTTTCCAACAGAAAACATGTTTAAGAAATATTATAAAATATATCTTAGAATTGGCTCTTTTTTGTTGGGAAAACTTAGCTCAAGCATACCCAACATGGTGCCCTCCAACTCCCATCAGTTCTAGTCAGCAAGGGCAATGATCAGGGATGAAGAGTTGGTGGGCAGATCAACATCTGGGAAGTACTGCGATGGCTAGCTTAGTTTCTCACTCACAAAATTGTTTCAGTCATCTAAATAAGCATCTGTTTTCCTGAGCATGTGTTTAGGTATGGCAGTTCTTCTGCAGTTGCTTGTTCTTATCAGCCAGTGTATTCCCACGTGGTAAATTTGAGAAGCAATCAGATGTGGTGAGAGGGACTGGATAAAAATTCCCTGAAACAAACAAATTCCACCAAAGCTCTGCCATAAAATATGTGGAAGGGGCTTAACTAATACCAGTTTAAGGACACTAGTATTTATTGAATGATGCTGTCATTTCAAGATGTCAGTACCCTCACTGACTTGAAAAAAGCTGATTGACATAAATTACAACCACTTAAAATTATTAATTGTTAAAATATATTTTGTGCCATGAATAAAATGTGCATAAAACAAATGACAGTAAAATATTAAGGTGAAGAGATGCCAGTAAACCCTACATGACCTGAATGAATGGAAAGGAATGCTCCTATTTTCCAAAGATCCTGTAACAATTCCTTAAAGCCAAGATATTTATACTTAATTTCTGTTGCTCCACAATTAGCATGTTTGCTAATTTTATTATTCTGTTTCTGACCCTTTTCTTAAACAGGCCTGCACCTAAACATCCACCTCAAATGCCTAGAGCCTGCAATACTGCCTATATGAAATGACAACATGGAACATCATTTGTATCCTGGAAAGTGAAGACAGAATTTTGCACTATTTTCATCTCCAGTTGGAGATCAATATTTTTATATCAATAGGTAGAATTTTTAATGTTCAAAACCCATTATTTTAAAGAACTCTGAGCTACTGCCTTTGGTGCTATGCTGTGTGAAGGTGGTTTGCTTCTTTGCTCAGGTACTTGTAAATTATTAATTTATATTTAATATTTATTACAGTGCAGAGCACTGTAGTAGATATTGTTTCACCATAACCAAGTTTTCCTAGGAAGGAAGCCATTTTTGTGATGTTTAAACAGTCTTGAACCATCCATTACAGATTTCTCAATGTTTGGTACAAACGCCTCAAAGTTTATTTAGTTTGGACCTGTTCCTATAAAGAATGTTGACTAAAGCTGAATTGAAACTTTGCTGAAACCAAGAGACAGGTGAAATTTCAAAAGCTAGCGACTGATATTTGTGAATAGAATCTGGAGGGAAAATATTACTTCTATGGATGGAAAATATTACTTCTAGGGTGTATTTTCAAGGAAGGTTAAGAAAATAAGTGCCAAAACGAAGAATTACCTAAATATCTAGGTTTATCAGGTCTTAGGTATTGGCTCTATCATCAAACAGATGTACATTTTCTGCATAAAAATTCAGATTTTACAAAGTACATGCTTTTCCTATACAACCAGACCTTTATCATTGTGCGTTGTAACTAAAAATTCTAAATGGCCTGATCCCTGTGCACAGCCAAACCCTGGTTAGAGGGATAGATCTGCTGACACAGCACTACAGTAGTTACTTGTGCTCTGACCACAATACTTAACCCCAGCCAACTTGGTGGTTCAACAAAAGGCTAGTCATCGCTCACCCATCTGTCGGTGGGCACCCTTTGCGGGGCCACACACAGCACCCCCAATCCACTGGAGACTTACCAGAAATCAGCATTCTCATTTTGATGAGAACTCTGGCCCCAAATAAGTTTCTAATATTTGACCTTGGAGGCCACAGCAACAGCTTTCAAAGCTAGTTTCACAGAAGTGTTCACTTCAACTCTAGTACTTGCTCTCATTGAGCAGTTGTCAGATTTCAAGTTATAATCCCACCGGTTTCGATAAATCTTTAAACAGATCACACAAACTATTTCTCCTATTATACAGCGAAAAACCCCTACATCTGCCCACATGTGTCATGTCTCAGTGTTCTAAATCTTAAAAGGCCTGCTATAGCTGTTTGAAACTAACTGAAAGTCTGTATTTCAAGAGAGTATATAGGCTTTCAGCATGTTTTCTTAATTAAAAAAACTATATTGTACAAGACAGTTTTAAATTCATTGTTTTTGTTGGATGTAGTACATGATTTCTGCGTTAATTGCACTGAAAAGTCTGCAATTTGCATTCTCAGTGCAACACAAAGACTATGTGGTTCAGTAGATCATAATTTAGAGATTGTTTACTGCGTTTCCCTCGTCTCTCTCCTGTTTCTGAGCAACACTGCTGTGGATTTTCTGGAAACAATTGGAATTAGAAGAATTTGCATAGGAGATTTTTCAGTTTGAAATTTTCTGATGCCCTAGACTAGAAAACGTTCTAATGTAGCATGCATATTTTACTTGTACTCAGCAAACAAGGCTATAAACTTTCAAACTGCCAAGCTAGCAAGCCTTGAAAGTCCAAGCTGGTGGGGCAACTGGGATGGCCCAGATAGAACTGGGAGTCCAGACATGGACTCCTTTCCACCTACAGCTCAGCATATTTATGGGGAAAAAACCCCTGTCATATTCATAATAGTCAATTAGAACTAGCTTTATTCTCCTTTCTCCCTCCCTTTTGCGGGTATTGAACCAATACCACAGTTGATATTGGTGATACTCTCATTTCCACCCCTGCAAAAGAAAATCACCTTACATATTCTCTTTCATAACAACATAATGTTGGCAAATTATTTGTTCCACACTATATAACTATTTCCAGCACCAAACCTTTGGCCATTACTCCTGCCTATGCAGTGTGCTAATATCCAAAGTGTCTGTGCTTCTTCAGACAGAGAAACAGAACTTGAAGACCTTTTGTCTTTTTCCAGTAAGTAATTTAACTTTCCCAATTACTTTGCCCTGTAACTAGGCAACCACACAGTCATGCTTATGAACAAAGCAAATAAAATATATCCTCAACCTCACCAAAACCAATAAAGCAAAAAAGAATCCACAGAAACCAGTTTTGCTCCTGAAGCTTGCATATGATATAAATTATAGTATCAGTAATTACACAATAAGACATTCTGGAAAATGTCAATGTAACATTTATGCTAAATGAGGAGAGTTGCTGATGATGGTAGCACTCAACTTTTTAAAGATAGGATTTGGCATTTCATTTTAAATGAAAAGCAGGTGCTGTTGGGGCTCTTTAAATTACCTTTCATGCATCTTGAGTAGTTTATTTTTCTAACAGCACCTTACTTCTTCACTCCATGTTGTTTCATTTGACTGCCATTAATAAGAAACCCCAACTTGATTATTACTAAAGTAGCATTTTATTTTATTTAGCAGGAATCAAATCCTTGGGCGTGATTGCCGTAAAAAGATGTTGGGGTTTGTAAATTCCCTTTTTAATCACTACATTATTTTTTCCTATTCCTGATCATGAAAGAGCTAAAGCAATACTATTTAAGAACTGAACTGTTCAATCAATGAACACTCTGTGCTTTACAAAAGGCAGGTGGTTTCACATGAGGAACATGATCCTCCTCTGCCTAGCTCAGTTCACACTATGTGCCACTGCATGTGCAAAATGGAAATCAGATTGGTAGGCTTTAAATGCATATCACCATGGGGATCTGTAGGTGCTCTTCCCTATTTCTTCCCTATGTTTATCATTTACTGGGTAAAGAGCATCAAAACATGCAGCAGAATTTGTAACTGACTGTTGCTCTCATATATTTACACTGCAAATCTTCAGTGCAATTTGCAATTTAATGTGCATCCCCATCATGGTAAAACTAGTCATGCATAAGTATCTTTTTAACCAGAGAGAGATAGGTGAGGCCATATATACTATTTAGTCAGGACTAAAGATACAATATGCTAGTCAGCACATAATACAAAACAGTCATAATATTTCCACAAAGGATTGTAACATACCTTTTAAATAGGCAAGATTACTTCAAAGCTGAATGCAAATACTTATGTTTATTAGCCTTCAGCAAACACTAGGTTTCTCCTGAATTTCATGGCAGCTTGCTTTCTCGGGCTGTTTTTGTATCTATCAGCTTCCCACACTAGAAAATGCTTTTAAACCTCTTACTGTGATGTGAGCAAGGGGAACCTCTTGTTGTGGAGTCAGCAAGGAGAAGCAACACACGGTCTGTTAAAGTGGTAACCTGCCCTAAGACATACTGGTAAAGAGTGGATCAGAGATCTAATTAATTAATTAAGCATTTTAAAGCAGCGGCTGCACCTTTCAAACAATTTTGCGTTATTAGATAAGGTCATGTATGCTTTCATTCCAGTGAAACGAAAGGCAGTCAATGGAGCCCTGAAGGCCCACTGCTTTTCAGTGGAGTTAAATTGTTTATCTCATACATGTTAAGGCTGATTCACACATACATGTTTGGATGTATCATCACTTACCAGTTCTTCACTCTCAGCCAAATGTAAGAATTGTCTCTGATGAAAGGTATTTCACTTGATATTCTGTAACAGAATTGATATTGTGTAATAGAATTTTCCTATCTGTGGTGATTAATCTGTGATGGCTTAGTCACTAATATTACTGTGCACACATGAACCTACATTCTCTTTAAAGCATGGAATTTATTTTGATAAAAATATATTTAACATTATAATGTTAAACAGATTTAAATTTCTCTGGTCTACAAGCCATCACCCTGATACAAATCCAAATGAAATTCAATGCACAGAAAAAGCTCTCATATCACTGTCAATGTTAGTACTGTGCACATTTCTTTTGTCCCTATGGGCTGGCACATTCAGCTGAAAGGAAAACCATTTCATGTCAGGGAGTTTCTGACGTGATTTGGAGAAAATTATTGGATTGGGGAAGCACACTTCAATGGCAAACACGATATTCTCTCTCGACTTTAACATGCACAATAGATTTCAGTAAGCTGAGATTTATGTGTCATATAACGACCTAAAGAGCTGCTTATACCTAGTCATACCATTGGGCCCAGGACTGCTTGTTCTGACTGGCAACAATTACTTCAGGACCTTTCCCAGCCCTTCTTCCAGATAATTTCAACTGAACCAGGAACATTTTGTATATAGAGCATGTACTCAGTCACTTTGCTAGGGCTGCCTCTCGATTTACCTGTATTATGAAACCTTAGGCCACTTGATTTGCACGCATTGTAGTCCTCCTAGCAAAATCAGGTAGCAATCCAGAAAAAATAGGTAAAAACAATTATGTCTCAAAGGAAAGTTGATTATTCTCCTACAAAGTAAAGTCTGCTGCAGTGACTGACTTGCCAACCAAGAAGTTATGATTTCCCCTGCAAAGTCGAATAGTATTCTCTCTGTGTGTCTCTCGTGGTAGAGGGAGGAAAGTGATCATTGCTGCACAGTTTCGGTTCATATAAGCATCGGTAACCACAACTTGTAAACATGGATGACATGGCAGATAAACAAATAATTAAACCCAGGAATGATTCAATGATAAAAAGAATCTGTTGATTTTTTGAGTAGCATAGTTTAGTTTAGAATGATTTTGTGAATTCTCAGATATTAGACATTGTTCTCACAGAGCAATCACAAAATATTGACTTGGACGAACCTAGATGCCTTTTCTACTTTAACTCCCTGTCCTAAGACTAGGGTATGCCATAAACAGAGCAGGCGAACCATAGAGCAAAAGAGCAGCAGCTGACTCAAGCAAATAAGCAAAAGTCATTATAGTAAATTGGCAAAAGGAAAAGTTCACTAGCCAGTCTTACCAAGATATACATTACTTTCCTGCACCGTGATCAGTCAGATCCTAGGTATTACCTAAAGACATCTGCTAAGTGTTTCATAACACTTGCTGCTTTACTGCAGCTTGCTTATTTGCAATTCTGGATGAGCCAGGGGAAGGGAAAGACTCTCCCACCCCCGACACAGGCCAGCTGCATGCTCTTAGTGCTAGATTATGGCCAATAGTTTTAGTTGTGGTTTACCACCACTAAACTACTTTGAACCATTACAAGACACGATGAACAGATTTTGAGGAAGTGTGAAACAGACCAGAGCCTCTTTCAGTTCATTGAAACCTTTGTATATTTCTTAGTATAATGATAACTAATTCTCTCCTCAGTCCTGATCTTTGTCTCACTGGTAGGGTCTTGCTTACATTACTCCAAACAGAGATGTCCAAAGTTGTTTCAGAAGCTGTTGATTCTGACCTGTCATTGCATAATCCCTGAGCTCCAAATCAAACATCACCTCAGTCACAATCTTCTTAGGCAAGGCACTTCTAATCAACTTAAGCCCTCAATGTGAGGAACAGCCCTATAAGAATTACCCAAACTACACTGAGTGTTTTGAATGCTAGATAAATGTTAAGTACTGTAATTAAATATTACTGTATCAATAGGTAAAGGTAAAGGGACCCCTGACCATTAGGTCCAGTCGTGGCCGACTCTGGGGTTGCGGCGCTCATCTCTCTTTACTGGCCGAGGGAGCCGGCGTACAGCTTCTGGGTCATGTGGCCAGCATGACTAAGCCGCTTCTGGCAAACCAGAGCAGTGCACAGAAACGCCGTTTACCTTCCCACCGAAGTGGTACCTATTTATCTACTTGCACTTTGATGTGCTTTCGAACTGCTAGGTTGGCAGGAACTGTATCAATACTGTTGTTTAAATTAACAGAAAATCCCAAGTTCTCTTCCACATCCCTCCTTGTTCATAATTTTGAATTTTGCTTACATAAAACTGAGAACTCCATGTGCTTCCAGATCCGTTGAATATTTACATAATTAATTTGAACAAGAAATAAATATGAGTCAAGAGCCCCTAAATCAGGGCTAGCTGACCTGTGGCCCTGCAGATACTGTTGAACTACATTAGCCCAAGTCAGCATGGTCAAGGTGGTGGGAGTTGTAGTCCATCAAGAACTGGAGGCCCACAGGTTAACCACCCCACCTTAAACCATCAGATATGCTTCTTCCTCAAGTTAGTTTAGCTTCTAAATAAGCTCTCATTGCACACTCAGAGTGAATCAAGGTGCAAAATTAGTTATGTTGCAGGTTTAATCAGGCACATATGACATATTTTTGCATTTTTAACTATTGCCATTTATAGTAGGTTCTTTAATGTAACACAAATGTTCTTGGAATTGTACAATCTGATTTACATTTCCTGATATATAATAAAATAATAAATTTGTTAATGCATTAATGGGGAAAAAACACCAAATGAACTTACCTGGTAAGCCAGCCTGGGAACCTGTTAAAGCGTGGGGTATACAGCCCTTAAATAAATCTGATTTGAATATCCCTTCTAAGTTGTAATCACATGCAATCATCATCACAGGGTAACTGTACCAATGTAATAAATAGTCTTTATTACTCAAGATAATGCAAGTTTCCTGTATTACGATTACAATTTCCTGTATCATCCTGGGAAGCAAAGACATTTCAGTCCTTTTATTCTTCTGTTATACTTTACATTTAGGTATCTCTTTTAGCATGAAGCAGGCATATAAAATGCAATGTGAATTGCCATCAGGACTGACTCTGAACAAAAGGTGCTATCACTCTTTGCATTAAGAGTAGCAACTGATATTTTAACTGCTGATAACCTGATCCTTGATACATTTTCATGGAAGTTAAGTTCCATTAGCTGCATTCAGTGGGACTTTCTTCCATGTGATGTTTTTAAGACTGTGGTGATAAGACTGTTAATTGTAAACCATTTAGCACACAATATATGAATATTAGAGTGACATAAGCCATTAATTTTTATGAACCATACCTTTATAATGCTTTCAGTTAAATGTCAGTTTGCTAAAACTTTCTACATAATGCACTGTGTAACAGTTTGCCTTACTTTTATACACTTTTTTGTAATGATTATTGCAGTAACATGTTAAGAGCCTACAAACATGTTTCAATAGCAGGACAATCTATTCCCTATTAAGTATTCTGTATTAAATAAACAGTAAATACATCCTTAGTTATGTACTGATTTGTGTTTTCTGCAATTATTAAAAGGTTTTGAAAATGGAATAATTTATTGAGGAAATAAAACTTTGAATACTTTGTTGACCAGGTATGGGACAATTTATTTTGTCTGCAAAGAACGGGAAACATTTAAAATAATAATCTCATAAGATTCTCCTGAATGGGCTATTAAGACTGCAATCCTATACACACATATCTCCCAAAAAAGTTGATTTCCTCCAACTTGTGTACTTACTGCAAGCAAGTACAAGTCAATCATATTATTTTTATTATATTATATTATTATTATTATTATTATTATTATTATTATTATTATTATTATTATATTTAAAAAGCTATGTTGATGGTTCTGATGTCATCATAAGTCTTGTGCTGCTCAGAAAGATTAGACTCTAACTTACAAAATACAGTGTTTCTAGAATGGATTTTCTGTTATTCTGTTCAGCTTTTTGCCATTTAGAATCATAGAATTGTAGAGTTGGAAGGGACCCTGAGGACCATCTAGTCCAACCCCATGCAATGCAAGAATATGCAGGAATATGCAGCTTTCCCATATGGGGATCAAATCTGCAACCTTGGTGTTATCAGCACCATGCTCTAACCAACTGAGCCATTTGAACCAGCTTGTTTCACTATCCTCACAAACTAACATTCTGAATTCTTTCATGTGTTTATGTTCCGAACAAAAACTGCAGTATTTGCACGTACAATTACTCTGAGAGAATCTGATTTTAATGAGCAGCTTGCTGTGCATCTATGAGGTGGCCAAGAAATACCAATACCTGGTGGAACGCTCTGCCTCTGATTTCTTTCTGCAGGGCCTGTAAGACAGAGTTGTTCCGCCTGGCCTTTGGCTTGGAGCCAATTTGATTCCCTCCCCCTCTTTCTTTTTTCTTTTTCCTTTCTGTGATGAAGCTGCATTTTAAGATTTTAATGTTTCAATATTTTAATGTTGCATTTTAAGTTGTATTCGTTCAACTTGTTTTTATTATTGCTTGTTAGCCGCCCTGAGCCCTGCTGTGGCTGGGGGGGGGCAGGGTATAAATAAAAAATGTATTATTATTATTATTATTATTAATTACTACTACTACTACTACTACTACTATGCCACCTATTTATTTATTGAGAAGCCATGCATTCTACAGCAAACTACATGATAATTTATGGCATGTTCTAGTTTTGCCCTTAACGTCAGTGACTGCTACTACTCAAGGGCATGAAACAGGAACAGCTGCTAGCATGAGAACAAGAGGACAGAAGAGCAAAAAATAGGATCACTGTAAAAACTGACCATAATGAGAAAATAATGCTGCTAAAATGTAGATGAATTTAAACGCCAGAGAAAAATGCTGGAGAAGCAAAGTTAGCATTTTAATCAAGGCACCCAAGAGTGTGTAACAGCTAATTAGGAAAAAGGAAAACAACTAGGATTTAGTCCTTGTGGCCTGACCTCCTTCGTAGGTAAGATTAGGCTTCAAATTGTCTGCTTCACACAATTGTAGCAGAGGATGCGGAAGAATCCACGTTCACATTACTTAATTGTCTTTTCCTTTCTTCTATTATTGAAACCACACTCTAAAAAAGAGAAGGAAAATAGCAAATGAGGATAAAATGCTTAAAGAATAGAAATCAGGAGAAGAGTTCAAGTAAAAGATATCCATACCTGTCTGTTCATGCCTCTAGCCATTTCCAGGGCACCTTTGCCAAACTGAAAAAAAAATCCCCCCCCCAAAAATGTTAATTTTGTTATTTTAAACAGTTCTTGGATGTGTGTGTAAAACAGGTGCTGAAAAAGCTACTCTTACTGCTATTACCTCATTTTTAACATCAGGATCTGCTCCTCTTTCTAGAAGTAATGCTACCAATTCTTCATGGTTATTTAATGCTGCCACCTGGAAGTAAGATTAGGGGGAAATTATATATAGTTGGGTGTTTGCATAAAATAAACTTGTTCTCTTATTGGAAATATTTTGGAGAAAAGAAAAATTGGCACCTTTTTCTTCAATGAAAGCCAACACAGATTACCTACTAACACAATGCAAGGATTACTCAATATTAGAACACCATCCCAAATTTGGAAATAAACTCCAAAAACCGTTGTGTTCCAACTCTGAAAGTTACTGTTTGAGCAACCTCCAACTGATGAGAAGTAATTGTCAAAGCTACTACCACTTCTATGAGGAACTGGCATGGTATCACTTTTAGAAGGAATGTAACAAATGCATCTTCATTTCTGGTACTGAGATACACACAAACGTATCTGACAGCCACATAGCTGTGTGTGTTTTAGAATAAGCAGCTAGAACATTAACAGAGGACTGGGTTGGTCTATACTCCTGACAGCTAGGGTCTGTGCTTTATTTATTTTTAATTTTGTTGACTATATTTAAATATTCTCTTGACAATGTTATCATCAACCAACTACAAGTATGCCAAACTTTTTAAATAGCTTTCAAAAGAAGTTTAAACATGGCCTAGCAGCTGGAACTCAAGATCTAAGGGCCTTACAAACCATTGCATGGGGGTGAATCTGTGGACTTAACAAGAAGCTGTCATCAGTCATAGCACCCCAAGTGTATTTTGCACAACACATTTATAGTAGTGTACAACTGAAACAATTTACATTTACACCACTGAATATCAGAGGTGGTATTAAATGCAAGTCCCACTCAGGGTAGATCCACCTAAGTTAATAGACATGACTATCTTAATTTCAAAGGGCTGACTGAGTAGGACTTAGCTGAATGCAACCCATAGGGGTTGTGTTCAGTTTTACGATGAATTTTTATCATTATATTCTCCGTCTAGTTTAGGTTTATGCCCACTGCTTAGCAATGCTAATTATTAAGTGGTATATAGATGCCTTACATAAATAGTAAAACAGTGTATGTGGTGATCTTAAGCTATATAATCCTGACCATAATTTTGCATATAGGAGCAGTGATAGTTGAGTGATTTGCTACAAGTCATTTGTGCATTGCTTCAGTATGTTGAACTTCTCTAGGCTCTCCTGGAGTTCTGACGATCTCCATCCTCTACTGCAGCATTGAAGTCTGCCTTTACATGAAGGATCTGAATATTAGCCTTTAGAGCTTGGCAATAATACACCTGCTTCTACAGATCATTAAAATATCATCCCAAACACCTGTTTGTAAAGGTAGAGAAGTACTTGCTCTCTCTCTCTGTGTGCTGACTGGAATGAAAATGTTAACAGAGCATTTTGATCTTTATAGAATCTACAAATACAAATGCAGTACTTCAGAAAGATGAATTTCCAAGTATGAAGGAATAAGAGGGCTCATCCTATTAAAGAAACATTTGAATTTGCTCATACGTACTTCATTTCATGCACCAAACCAGAAAAGAGATTGTGAGATAAAGTGCCTTAATAAGAGAAATCAAAGGGGAAGTGAAGTGTTACTTTGAAAATCCTCCTGTCATCCCAATACAGGTAAAAAGGCTTCTAGCACAGCCACTGCATTCTGTGGGCAAAATTAGTAGTGAATGAAAAAGGACTTGTCATCTGTGCAAGAAAGGCTTTTAATAAAAGTAAATATATTCCATGGGGCAGGGAATAGTATGGAGCACTAGTACCTAGAAGCCTTTCTTAAGTAGACCTCTTGACACACCGCCTTATCAAAATGTTTCACATTGCAGAAGAAAACTGGTGGAATGAGCAGGTAGTTCTCAGATAAACAGACAACCAGGTAAACAAGCTTCACACCCAAACCCAAATTATACCAACACAACCTTGTTGAAGGGAACAGCCAGGATGAATAACTCAGTTTCATACATTACAGATCTTTGAGAGCAAAGCATCTAGCTGCCTCATTCTATAGTATACAAGTAAGTTCAAAACACCTTTCTAAGAGCAGACAAAAGTTTGAGTATGTATATATTAGTGCAGTTCCATGGACTGTTGTGCAGATCACTAGCAGCAAGTCTAGTGCAGCCCCACATTGTATTGGTGGCAGGAGTGGATGAACCTGTTGATTTCAGTTTCTTATTTTTTCCAGTCTTCAGTTCACCTCATTTCTGCATCTGTCTGAAAATTTGTGTACGTTTTGGTGCATTTATCCTAATATACACATTTGCCAGCAATTTTCCTTAACATAAAGCAATTTTGTGCATTTTTCTCACAAATATATATTTTTGTGCACACTTTTCACTAACATATGCTTTTTACACAGTTGGTTTTTTTTAATTGGAGACTTGCACCACAAAAACCACCACGTATAGTGTATATAAACTCTAGTGCACTACAAAAATATTGGGGAAAAGTGTACAAAAAGGAGAACTCTGGATTTGGAGTTGCTTTTCACACAGCACTTTTCTATGAGGTTGCACAGTGTATTCCAAAATATACCAGCACACTGCTTAGCAGCAGAGCATACCATGAGAGGTGTCTTGCCATCCTTATCTTTTACATTCACATCAGCTCCAGCGTCTAGTAAAGTTGTGGCCACATCTGCTTTTCCTGTTATTGCACATAGTCTCATCAGCGGAGTCCACTCCAAGCCTGTGTCTTTAGGATCAATCTGTCAAAGAAAGGATGTTCTTCTGATACTTGAAACATGAATTCAATGAAAATTGACAAGATTTCTGTTCTGTTGAATACTTGCTGAGCTTATTACCTATCTTCAGCATCACTCTTTCCTGCTTGTTCCAGCAATTTATTTCTCATGCTGTGCAGTTCTCGATGCCTGGAGCAGCCTCCTTAGCCCTTTCGATATATCAGCCCAATTCATGCTCCCACTTCAAAATCTATTCCTTCCATAAAATCATTCCTAGACCACTTGACATTGTCAGGGCCTTCTTCCGCCAGGTAACCAAATTCAGTCTTATTTTACAGACTCACTGGCCTTAATACAGCTTTGCTTTTCAGTTTCATCCTCTCCATTTTATTTTGATTGAACACTTCTTGGCAAGGAGGGTGTCATTACTGTTATCTGCAGAGTGCACAGCATGCTGCTGATAAAAGTGTAGTAATAGCAACAGCAGTGGTAGCATTATTGGTCAAGATAATGCCCATTCATTCCATATTTTTAACTTACAATTTACATTTATTTCCCTGTTACATTTGCAGGTGTTGCACTTATAATTTGTGTGTTTGTGTTTTTCAAATCGACTTAACATAATATTTGATGTTCATTTTGTATTATAATTCCTAATTTATTAGTTCTTCCAATACACTGGGTGGAATCAAGTATTGTACAAGCAGACTTCCACTCACTTTACTCGACTGCAGTTCCCCAATACCCTAAAATTCTGTCCCAGAGGGTTCCCAACACTCCAGAGCAGATTTTCAGGGTATACAGGAAGCTACAGGGGGGTAGAGATAGGGAGGTAGAGTCCTATTGTATGAGAAGAAGCCCACCCTGCCCATGAAAAACAGTACTGGATACAATCCAATAATGTATATATTCAATTGAACTTCCTTTTCCTGGTTTTTAAAAATTATTTCAGGGATCATCTTCTTGGTGACTCCGACAACAGGGGAAAGTTTGCCTTTATCTACCGAGAATAAATGGGTCACACGATCAGAATTTACCAAACTTTGGAAAATAGATAGAGTATGTTCGATGTGAGGGCAATCTGGCTGCAACATCTGTCACCCCATTGATTGCCAGGGTTGATTCAGCTGATCTGGCTGTCTAGGCGGGTGTCCCCTTCCTCCCTCACCGCTCCATGTGCGTCCCTCCTGAAGCTGCGCACTCGGTGGAAGAGGACAACCATCCCAGATAGGAGTGTACCGTTCTTCGGTCAAGGGTATACGATAGCTGTGCTCCCCTGCTAGAACCTCCAAACAAGCTCAAGGACCTCCATTCTCCATTGCAGTCCTCTGGGCCTTTCAAATGCCTCTCCTGAGGGCTGGAAAATCCTTAGGAAAGGATGTGGCACAGAGGAATACAGTGGAAATGATAAAAAATAGTATAGAAGCAGCTTGTCAGAGTGGATAGCTTTGTGGGGAGCACAGAAGATCACAGTGGGGAGGGCAGGATGGGAAAGTCACATTGCACAAGTGTCTTTCACTCAGGCACACACTGGATTCAACCAAAATTTGTACTTTTTTTCAATCCTAGAATATATTTATTTGGTCCTTTGAATCTATTCCACCAAGTATCCTCTATTATGTGATCAGTACTAAACAAGATTAGTTTCAAATACAATAACCAATAACTATTAAAGTTATATACAAGCTTTTTAAAGCAGGTAATGCAATTTCTTCATAACCTTGAAATTACGGCAACAACTGATGCAGCATTCCATAATGATTAACAGCACACCTATATACAGTGGCATGTACACATCTGATAAACTGCTTCAAAGTATGCAGATGAACACCATACCTGACAACCATCCTTGACCATCCACTCAATAACATCGACATGTCCTCCGTCAGCAGCCCAGTGCATAGCTGTACATCCCCCAAGGTCTCTGGATAACCAAGAAGCTCCCTGGGATCTGAGATACTTAGCAATGTCCAGGTGACCAGCATAACAAGCTATCATTAAACTAAGAAACAAAAAACACTACTTATTAACACATAAAACGTTGTTATTTTGCAGTTTATAGAAAATTAAGTATTGTTTAAGTGAGCCACACCTTAGTCTAAATACTCTTCTAAGTTGGTTAATTTTCTGTTAAACACCATTTTATGACTGTATATTGCTATGTTATATGACCACTGATATAATCACTATTATATTACTAGTAAAACTGAAGCCTACATAAAGTATATGTAAACAAGCTATTAGAAGAACTTGTTCACAGTGCTAAAAGGAAATGGTAGTACAATACCAAAACACAATATCCAATTGTCCAGATGGACAAAATGGGCTGATAATTGTAAAAGGAGCCTTTATATATATAAAATAAGGGCTTTTATGAAATGTATAACTGGGGTTAGCAAAAATAGCCAAAGAAAAAACCAAAAGAACATTTTCCTAGTAACTGCTAACATCTGTAGTTCAGTGTGTATCACTGAGGATTCTGTTGAATCTTTTGAGACATTACTTCATTTTAATATTTCCATAGAGAACAAAATCCTAGACATCAACTGAAGACACAACATATTGACTTCAGTGTAAGATTTACGATTTCCCAACCACAGAACATCAGCCAACATTACCAGGGACATCTAGTACCACTTATGAAACACCTTTAAAAGCAGGCCTTTCAGATTAACTTAAAATATCATTGGGAAGAAAACTTGCATGATTTTGTGTAGATATCTAAGTAATACTAGAAATTAACCGGCTCATAGACCAAGTTATTAAAAAATTGTATTGTTATTCTATGGATTATTGTATCTTATTTCTTGCTGCTGCTTATATGCTGACATCTAACTGCTGTAATTCTGTATTTTCCTCTGATTTGTATAGACTGCTTTTTGGAGGTCTTTGGACAAATTTACTTTTAGAAAATCACCATACTTTTGTGTTCAGGAAGATTCTTTTATATATACTGCTGATACTTTCAACATGTACAATCCACACCAAATGCCAGAATCAGAAACTGCCTGAATAGTTTAGGATCGACATTAGACTGCCAAAACAGATATGAAAGACAAAGTGCGGGCAAATGAAAAGTTAGTAATTAGGAGGTGATATGTCAACTGATCTGCAGCGAGTTGAGGCTAGAGGTGGTCCAGGAAAGGCTCTGATAAGGACGTGTCTTGAGGAGATAGTAAAATAACTTTATTTATCAAACTAATTCTGTCAGAAATTATTTTTAAAAAAACAGAGCGGAACACCCTTGTTGTTTATTAAACACTTGGGGAAACCCAACAGACATATTATTGATTTGGGCCATAAAATGAGTAACTAGCCCTGGCTGGACATTCTGCCTGGATAGGGTGTATGCCAACCATACTCCCTATAACCCCATCCCTGCTTGCTGAGTCCCTGACCTTCTCAGGCTGAAAGCGGAAGGTCTAAAACAGGGCTTCTATCTGCATTTGTTTGAAGGAGAGAAAAAGGAAGTCCCATTGAGCAGAAGTTCATTCTGCTGGCTGATGAACATGGTTCACTTGCTAATTTGACTGGTTGTCCTAAATTATATGTATCTATTGGCTTACTTTACTACTTTAAAGTCCTTCCTGGACAGTAAGAGTGTTGCATGCACTAAACAGACTGAATATTTGGGAAAGAGCACAATAGCCCTTTGCATACAAAAGTGGTATTTAAGGAAACAAACAACTAAAGCAAATTTTAACAAGCTTCATAGAATAGCAAAAGTACATTCCACAAAATAATGGAAATGCAAATATATCTCATGCTATATATATATAAGCAGTTTTTACTATGTCATACACTGTTATAACCAATTTCATAATTTATTTTCATATTTATTTCGTAAACATTTATATACCGTTTGATTGTAAAAAAACCAACCAACCAACCAAGAAACAGAACCCAAATCAGAGTAGTGTCAGGAGAGGCTGTTACAACCATCACTCCCATTATAAATGAGCTGCAATCTGCAACACCTGAGAAGAGAGAAACCTGCTTCTCATTTCAGTTATCAGCCTCAGCCTAGTCCATTTGTGCCTCTGAATGTATAGCTTTACTTTCTGCCATTTAAATTAATGGCTATCATTCATTCCAAGGAAAATTGAAGTGCCACACATGGGTCAAATTTGAGGGTTTATGGGCTCTAAAACCAACCCCTCCCCACAAAATAATAATTTTAATCTGCTTTTTTGTTGCTGTTCACAAATGTTGCACCCATGCTGTTCCACATTTTACTGCTCCTCCATCCATGTCATGTTGTGTTTCCCATCACCATCAAGGACCATGTAGTAGAGAAATGATGTCAAGCTCCAATACAGAATGTTAGGCTAAGCCTGGCATCCCCAACCTGCGGCCCTCCAGATGTTTTGGCCTATAATTCCCATGATCCCTAGCTAACAGGACCAGCGGTCAGGGATGATGGGAATTGTAATCCAAAACATCTGGAGGGCCGAAGGTTAGGGATGCCTGGGCTAAGCTATGTATGCACTGCTGCCATTGCCAACAGGTGGTGGGAGAATGGCAGGATTGTGTTGCCCAGGCCTCAAAGTATCAACAACAGTCAGGGAACAAAAGCTGCAAAATTAAGAGTTCCATTTCAGATCAGCATCAGCATCAGCTAAGGCATTATTACTGATGCAGACAGTATCCCAGTGACATTTCCTCCCCATGGACACAGGTTTACATTAAATATACTTTTTAAGTCCACAATATCAACATCCGCCATGTTATCTGATGCATTTATTACCTGTCCTTCCCACTGGCATTCTTCCGGTTCACATCTGCTCCATTTTCTACCAAAATCTGTGCAAGTCTAGATAGAAAACATTTGCATTATATTATTTTTCAGCAACTAGCAGCTTGCCATGACATATAAAGAATATTCAGTTAAGGTGCCAATTTTGATGGCTGCTATAGTAAGAAATTGTTATGTGGCAAACTGACCACTGTCTTCAAACCATGTGCAAATTCATATGCCACACTGAAATTATTTACCAATTAACAGCTTGCCTTGTAAGTCAATACAACTATAAACAACACCAACTGCTGCAGCACATTATCCCAGTCTAGAATATAAAGTTGATGTGATCCATTGACTAGAGTACTGTACAAAATTCTGGTTTCAAGCCAAACTTTGTTTATAATTAACTAGGTAATTTTGAGCAAGAGCAAGTCACTGTTCTTCAGTCTTAGCTCTCAGTCTACAAAACAAAGAATAATTATTCATTGCACTGTGGTGTTATGAGGATGAATGTGAAAGAACATACTCTGAACACTAAATAAATTATCAGTTTCAGGCCTGTAGCTATAAAATAGTATTTAAGGAATGAATTGGAGGGGGGGTTCCCAAAATTAATACATCTGAAAGGAGAGGTGGCCACCTTCTGCAGTTTTGAAGGCTACTGTTCTGTCAGTGATTCCAATACCCATAATAAAATTGTTGCTGTCTAGTCAAACATTCACAGTAATGAATCATATATGCCCAGGCATAGCAGCACATATAATATGTATAAATACATATAATGCATACAATATGAAAGAGAGCGAGAGGAGTTTGAAGTGGGGAATCTTGCTACTTAATTTTTTTGCTGGGGGAGGGATTAGGTAGTTAGTGGAGGGCCAGAAAAAATTGGTTTGCGATTAGATATTACAATGGGTCATCAATCAGCTATCCCTGAATTTCAAGCAGATAATGGCAACTTCATATCACACACACCCCAAACCACAAAAATAATGAGAACTGTAACTGACTATTCTGATCTGTACAGAGTCTCATACAAGAAAGGTAAAAGAAATATTACAATACTACCTAGTATATCCTTTTTGTGAAGCAACCATCAACGCTGTAAATCCTAGTTTATTGAGTGTATCTACCACCACTTGCCTTTTCAAAAAAGAAAAAAGTAGACTCGTTATCATTTCAAACATTTCCATCACTACAGTTCTTCTCCAATATGTTTCTCAACATACGTAGGTGCATATTCTGCCTATTCATCAGTGGTAAGGATCCATTAAAGTTGCCACCACTGTGTCCCAATGGAGGAGGTGGGGGCACAGTGTTCTTACTTATAGGCACTGCAAGATGGCAGGAAGCTATGAACCTACTAGGTCAGCACCCTGCAGTTATGACCTGCTGACAAGCAAGTAGACTGGGCCACTGACATCATGGCCCACATTTTACACCATGCACTGGGCAGCCAGCAGCTGAACAATGCTTATATAGTAATCTTCATGTCTTTGCTGCTCACCTTGCAGTGCCCAACAACAAGAGCACCGAGTCTGCCTTGATTAGTGCTCCTCAGCACACAACTTCATGGATCATTGCTGCCTTTCATAACTTAAAAGAATTATATGGCTTAGATCCAAGAAGCACAGTATGTTTTTTTCCCATGAAAGGGTATTTTTATGCTCCCATTTCTTATATCAACCTCTAAATTCCCCTGAAAAATCATTCCCAAGGATTGAGGACCTTTTGCAGTGGCATTCTCTGATAGAGTAGAAGAGTTTGGATTTGATATCCCGCTTTATCACTACCCGAAGGAGTCTCAAAGCCGCTAACATTCTCCTTTCCCTTCCTCCCCCACAACACACACTCTGTGAGGTGAGTGGAGCTGAGAGACTTCAGAGAAGTGTGACTAGCCCAAGGGTCACCCAGCGGCGCAGAGATGCGAACCCGGTTCCCCAGATTACGAGACTACCGCTCTTAACCACTACACCACATTGGCTCTCACTAGTGCTGTCACTAGGAAAGGGAACTGTCAGTTATATAGAATGCCTGCCTTCTACTTACACACAGGGGTCAATGTTATAATGTGTGTGCGTGTGTGCGTGTGTGTGTGTGTGTGCGCATCTATATATATCTATACACACACACACACACACACACACACATACATATTAGCACCCATTTCTGTAACAGCATAATTTGCAATTAGAAATCTATCACATTGAGCTTAACGTATAAGCTTAACATTAATATTTAAAAGGTAAAGGTACCCCTGCCCGTACAGTCCAGTCTTGACAGACTCTAGGGTTGTGCGCCCATCTCACTCTAGAGGCCGGGGGCCAGCGCTGTCCGGAGACACTTCCGGGTCACGTGGCCAGCGTGACATCGCTGCTCTGGTGAGCCAGAGCCGCACACGGAAACACCGTTTACCTTCCCGCTAGTAAGCGGTCCCTATTTATCTACTTGCACCCGGAGGTGCTTTCGAACTGCTAGGTTGGCAGGCGCTGGGACCGAACGACGGGAGCGCACCCCGCCGCGGGGATTCGAACCGCCAACCTTTCGATCGGCAAGCCCTAGGCGCTGAGGCTTTTACCCACAGCGCCACCCGCGTCCCCTAACATTAATATTTAGGTGACAGGAAAAATGACACTTTAGGTCAGAGCACAATTTGTCATGCAATTGTCATTATCTTTCACTCATTATTACATAGATATGAAGATTTTAAAAGGTGAATCATTTCTCACCTTCCTTTAAGAATAGTAAGGACTTGATCTACATCATTTCTGCTAACAGCACGATGGAGATGGTCTCCACTCATTGGTTCACCTGAAGAAAACAATGCATGAAAGCAGGATGGATAAAAAATTGTTTTGCTGGTACTCTGTCAGCTATTAAAATGCTGTCAAATAACTAGCTTTCACATTTTTCAGAACAGCATCTGGACACATCCCAGGTTCCTAAATTAAACAATAGACCTTTTATCACTGTTTAGCAGAAAGATGAAATGTTTCAAAGGTCACTTTGAAATCTTTTTTTAAAAAAAAAAAACCACAAAAAACCCAGACGACTGTTTATTTATTTTTAAAACCTGGGCACCATCTCTCAAATAAACACTCATGAATAATGAACATCTAAAATATTGTGCACACTGCTGAGTCTCTGCATTGCAAAATAAAGGGGGGGGGGAGAGTAGCAAAAGGTGTTAGCGAGGAAATCCCTGCTTCAAATCTCACCTCAATCACAAACTCCTGAGGTAGCTTTAGGGCTTAGGCAACCCATTAGTTCTAATGCCTTCCCCACCATCTGCAATATGGAGTGGATAATAATATTGGGGTTGTTGTATGAATAATGCATTTGGACAAAACAGGTGTATGCTTTTATTTCAATTTATGTTTACAGCCCTTTATTACGTCTTTGAGGAGACCTTTTCTATTAAGGACATGCTGCTCCCATATTGACCATAGTTTACCTCTATGACTGTTCTCAAAAACAATTCTTTGGGTGTGTAGGAGCAAATAATTAAAAGAACCAAAAGCTAAGAGAAACAATTTAAAAATGTACAATCATTCTCTCTTTGAAGTTATATTAAAATATATATGCAGTACATAAAACTTTCAGACAAGAAGCTTAAGGTTGACATAGTTACTCATTAAAATTGTGTCCACACAATAAATGTGATTACTGAATAAACAAAAGGAATCTGGATAGGTGAAGGTCATGCTTTTGTCTTCTGAAATAAATCCTTCATAAAATGGTACTGGGTTGCAGATGAACAGAGCAATGTATTCTAATGTGGCTATAAGAATTTTATTTATGGAACTGAAGGCTCTATTGGAAACTGAATAAATGATGAACTCATTGGTGAAGACATTCTCCAATTAACAGGCAGCAGCTGTTTGTCTTTCTATTTTAGGGACCAATTGATTAAAATTGCATGCCTCATTTAAACAGGACTTTCTTGTATTTTACCTGAGGAAAAAAAGAAGCAGCATCACACCCTTTTTCAAAGTACTTGCATTCTGATTTATGAAGGCTTTTTCCAGCTGAATGCAAATGCTAAACCAAAAGAGACATTTTGTTTTAATGTGCATATTCCTAACATGCACATTAAAACAACGAAGCTATGAAATATGAATATGAATGGATTTGAATATTTACATATAATAAAGCTGTGCATTGTATAGGAAAATCCTGGTTTTACAATTCAGATTTTTATCCAAATCCATTATGCTATTTGGAAAGCAAACATTATGTGAAGTGCAATATTAAAATGAACTATGAACATGCCAAACACGTAACATATTTCTAGATAATGACGGGCAGAATTCTTTCCAATGCTTTCTTTTCCTGAGGAAAATTTTCCATTTCATAAATGCATTAGTAACAACAAATGGATGCCAACTGTTGATACAATATTTGGCAAGCTTTGTACATTCAAAGTGTTTTGCTTTGTTAACTGAATGTAAGTAAAATAAGCATGCTCAATTAGATCACTCTCTAGGTATCAGAATTTTTTCCAATGCAAACTGAAATGTTTACCCTAATTTTCATAGGATTATTTCCCAGATCCCGCCCCCCCCCCTGAAAACGCACACTGCTTTCAGAACAAGGTTTCAATTCAGGAATGGCGGCCTTTGGACAAATGTGAGCATGTTATATTAAGATGCTAAAGTCTAATGGCTTCTGGTGGTTACACAGGAAGCAATGGCAAAGGGATTCAGCCATACTTTCACTAAAATGTTCTAGGATAGCTCACCATGGGCTAGAGCACAATGGGAAATCAGTGAATCACTTGCAAGCTTTTGGCTGTGAACCTATTTGATACAATACAGAAGTCTATTGATTTCAACAGGATAATTTACTCCCAACTCAGGGAGTGTGGAGAGGTGCATGGATTTCTTGGGGACTGGAATATACAACACTCCATTCTTAACTCCCAGGACAAGCAGTTCTGTTGCCAAGAAGCACGCTTCTTACTAGATATGTATCTTCAAAAGGACACAAAGTGGTACATGTTGTTCCTAATGGCTGGATTTTAGCTAGCCACCCAGATGTAGTGATTCATTGTGGGATCACCATAGAGAATATTTTTGCAGATTGAATTCCAAAATAATCAATACTGTCTGGATGCCTAGCTCAGTTCATTAAAGAGCATGGGGACTTTATGAAACTGATGATGTTTCTTGTCCTGTTTTCTAATTTGGGCAGCTAAGGGCTGAATAGCGAGAAGACAACATCAAAAAAGCAAGCAAACGTTTTAAGATAAGGGTTTCTCCCCACTTTAGATAACAGTGAGAAATAGCAAATGCAAAAGGTCTAAAATGTATCCCAAATAAGATACTGCATAAAAATGCTTAATTGAGAGCAGTGCTGCATGTTAAATTTACTTAATAAACTTATGCTTTCCATTTAATAGCTATTTTCATTGGGTAGAAATCCAATTTATATTGTGCATACTTAGAATTAACAATGAATTGCCAACTTACTTGTTGTGGTTACACAAACAGGTGTACTGTAAGCGGACTCCCCTGAAGGATCTGTCACTTTAAGTCGAAATCTGTAGGTTGTTCTAGGTTCAAGACCTTCCACCACATGCTGTTGAGCATATCCCCTAAAACAGTAATGTTTCCCCCCCCAAAAAATTTTTTTTAATCATTTTCAAATGTTTTGTTTATACAAGACTAACTCTAAAATTAAATTAAAAATACAAATGGTACTAAAAACTGACTCCCAAACACCTGTAACTGTGAATGTATGAAGGTCACTGGGAAAAAAACCATCTGCTTAGATGGGAAATATGTGCCAAAATTGTTCTTTTTAAATCCACATTATTGTTGTGTCACTGTGAATCCATCTGCAAATTCATTTGCCCTAACTGCACATACAAATCCAAAGTTTTCTCAAGCCTACATGAATACCTAAGCTGTACATACTTTAAAACCCAAAAGGAAAGAAAGGGTGATAGCCAACATCTGTCATACTCAGAGTAGACTCTGTGAAATCTACCATTTCAACTGGTCTACTCTGAGTATGACTTATGCTGGATATCACGCAAGGACTTCAGGTCTTCAAAAACAAGAACTAGAACATCTACATAAATGTCGTCAAATATATACTCCCAGCACATTTTTCAAGGGCAAAAGTTCAGGTTTGAATATTTTAATTTAATGTCTTCATATAATATTTGGAATACCAAAAAAATGTCTATCAGAATTACCATTACTTTGCCATGTGCTACTGCTTTAACTAAAAAGCAAAAATCCTTCTAAGCTGTCTGACATTGTAAAGAGATTGTTTCCTAGAACGCTCAGAATGCTTTAAATTTTAAAGCACTGTTTATAGTATAAGATATGTAGCTTGACATATGATGAAATAGGTAGTATTCAAACAGTCTAATTCTGCCACCTAGTGACAAACTCTACATAGAAATTTTCTGATGACAACAGAATGTATGATGTCTCAGAGCAAACATCAGAGCAGTCAGGGGACCACTGGTAGCTTATGTAGCACTGCAGTCAATTTATTTATTTTACTTTTACAACACATAAACCACCTCTCCAAATACTCAATGTAACTGATAATAAAACTCCCCCCCCCCGAAAATCAAGAGGAAGATCAATTTTATCGTTTAATGTACTGACTTTTTCAACAATTAAGAAAACTTTTTACAAATTAAATCATAACGTTAGAAGAAAAGCAACAAGAGTAAAATAGTGAAGGAGTTATGCTTTAGCCACAAAAAGCAACAAGAGAACTACTGGGTCATGTGGTCATGTGGTCCACACTCGGGATCCAACAGCAACAAGTCAGACCCATTAATGATTTGATTCCATGATTATAGAACCTTCCCCTTTCAAGTCATTTGAGTGGTACTTGCTCCACTGAGATGTACAGATTTAGGGGAAGAGTCTGCAATGCATGGAAGTATTGACATACTCTTGTTACACCTACAACCACAAAGACCATTTTCAGAACCACTGATTTATGTTAAGTATGTCAGCTTTGTTATCCAAGCTTTCAAATTATTTTGTGGGGGGGGGCAGCACAACTTCACTTACGTATAAATTAGACCATATTTATGCAACTTTGTGTCCTCTTCTTCAACTGAAAATTTTAACCATTGTTCCTGAGGACCTTTTCGTTGTTCTTCCAAGTCCCAACTAAGGTGAATATTGTGGTGGCTCACATGGCGTACAACTACAACTGGAGGGCGTGGTTTTGAGATGGAATGTCTTCCTACAAATGAATTACATCATTTCACATGTCTGACACTTATCTTGATTCAAACAGGAATATGGCTAGGACTGCATAAGCACTGTAGGACAATCGCTGCGTTATTTATTCTTTCGTACCTTCCCCCACTTTGCAGCAATACAATAAACAGAACTGTAAAACAAATTTTGCATTGTAGCTATGGACTTCAGCTGCTGTGACAAAAGTTTGCACAGCCTAAGCATTTATTTGTTTTTGTGAAATATTTATATCTTTCCTTTTGATCACAAAATATCCACAAGATAGTTGAGAATAAGTAAGCAATAACCTCCAAGAAATAAAATTATAACAGGTGACAGTAAGTCCACATAGCAAATACAAAACAGCAGCAACATACAACTTAATTTTTAAATAACTTTCTCATAAATGGCTTTTAAACAGGATAGTTTTAACTTGGAATCTGTATGCCATCAAAAAAGCAGCAAGGTGCATCTCCCCAGGGAGGGAATTCTAAAGTCTCAGCACCACTACCAAGAAGGCCCCATCCTGCATAACTACCCTTTGGTCACACACAAGGAACAATGACTTCTTTTCAGTATCTGCAGGTTCACATCTTTTAAACAAGTGTATTAGTTAAGCAACCAATCAAACATGTCTTACATTTTATAAATGCAAGTAATCTATAGAAAAATTGGAAAAATACACAGATTAGCGTGGCCCCAGCACAAGGATGACAAACAAATTTCATAAAGCATTCCATATTTCTGTCAGCCTGTCCTTAGTGACCATTTTAGCAAGTACTGTATAGTGGAAATATTACTTTCTCGGTGCTTAAAATTATGTTCCTTTAAAAAAGAAAAAATAATTAGTCAATAGACATAATGTAAACCCTTAGACTTGGGGGTAGTTTGTCACTAAACACCTATTCTGTTGTAGCCATAAGTGGACCATCCCTCAGAATGAAAGCAAAGAAGATACAGTGGTGCCTCGCAAGACGAAATTAATTCGTTCCGCGAGTTTTGTCGTCTTGCGATTTTTTTCGTCTTGCGAAGCACGGTGTCGGGAAAGTTTTGGAAAAGCTTCAAAAATCACCAAAGTCTTTAAAAACCTCAAAAAAGGCTATGAGTTGCTCCTCGAAGTCAAGTCGCAACTGTATTAACGGTGTTAAGAAAAAGGAAACAAACTTGCAAGACGTTTTCGTCTTGCGAAGCAAGCCCATAGGGAAAATCGTCTTGCGAAGCAGCTCAAAAAACAAAAAACCCTTTCGTCTAGCGAGTTTTTTGTCTTGCGAGGCATTCGTCTTGCGAGGTACCACTGTACTATAACTAGAGGCAACAGGCATCCATTATAAAGACATTCAAGTATGTTACTCCTATAGTAAGATGGAATTTTGCCCATCTGGTCCATAGTAAACAGGGGGTGGTGGGGGCGGAATGTGGCTATTCATCAAACACTGATATAATTCAGAGCCTAAACACAACTGGCATTACCTCCTAGAGATGTAGCAATAAAAACCGCTAGCACATTTGCAAAGCTAAGCAGGATCTGGTATGGTTTGAAATCAGCTTGGGGACTATGTGTTGAGATTCCTAGATTGCCGTGGGTTGGACTAGATGAACATCAGGACCCCTTCAAACTCTACAGTTCTATGATTCTACCATTTTCTCAAACAACTGATGCTAACTTGAAGCAATACATCAGCTTCTCAGTTTAACATTCAATACAGTGGTACCTCGGGTTAAGTACTTAATTCGTTCCGGAGGTCCGTACTTAACCTGAAACTGTTCTTAACCTGAAGCACCACTTTAGCTAATGGGGCCTCCTGCTGCTGCCAAGCCACCGGAGCCCAATTTCTGTTCTCATCCTGAAGCAAAGTTCTTAACCTGAAGCACTATTTCCGGTTACAGATAGGTAGCCGTGTTGGTCTGCCATAGTCAAAACAAAAAAAATCCTTCCAGTAGCACCTTAAAGACCAACTAAGTTAGTTCTTGGTATGAGCTTTCGTGTGTATCTGAAGAAGTGTGCATGCACACGAAAGCTCATACCAAGAACTAACTTAGTTGGTCTTTAAGGTGCTACTGGAAGGAATTTTTTTTTTGTTTTCACTATTTCTGGGTTAGCGGAGTCTTTAACCTGAAGCGTATGTAACCTGAGGTACCACTGTACAGGGAAGGATGCATACTGTAAAGATAGTTGATGATTACAGAAGGATTTTTTTTGACATGCAAAATGTTGTATACTAGGGTATCCAAGTTTAAACTATCATATGCAATGATGGGTGAAAAACCCTTGAAATCAATAACCCTATGCACACAAACCTCAATCTTCTTTTATTTTTGAGAAAACTAGAAACTTGCCAGTTCCCCTCACCCTTCTCTCCAAATATGCTTACTTTTGAGAAGGAGTAGGAGACAGTCAGTGACAGGGAAAGAAAGCTAGAAACAGGAAAACCCTTGCCAGCCTGGAAATAACACTCCGCAGCATGCTTGGGAGCATCATATGCTTTTGGGGAGCATGGGAATTTAGAACTCCAGAGCAGCCAAGGAAACTAAGATCCCATATTCCCCAGCAGGAAATAACAAGCTGGGAATTTGTTATTTACTCTCCCCAAAATTCAGTGAAGCAAGCAAAAGAACTTACAAATTCCAATGCCTTGGGGGAAAAAATACAATCCTGAGTGTCAGAATGACCAGTACTGTCTCTAGTGAGCCCTCCCTACCATCAGTTACTCCCCTTCCCAAGAATAACCTTTTTACTTTGAAAGTGGATTAAAATACTGGCGAAGGGAGCCAGCAGGTAGCAAGGATGAATTTCATTACCAGCTGATCCTTGAAAGGCCTCGGTCTGGTTTGTAATGGGTTTTGGCTTTCCAAACTAGGCGAGTTCATATTCCAAATTCACACCATCACTAATCCTATGCTCTGTGCACTTTCCTTTTCTTATAAAGGTATTAAGACACACTACACTGTGTTCCATTAAGTTCAGGATAAGGTATATATTGGAATAATTCAGGTAATTCATTCTAAGATAGCTAAGATTACCTACAATATTATATTAAAAGGTACCCCTGCCCGTACGGGCTAGTCTTGCCAGACTCTAGGGTTGTGCGCCCATCTCACTCTATAGGCCGTGGGCCAGCGCTGTCCGGAGACACTTCCGGGTCACGTGGCCAGCGTGACATCGCTGCTCTGGCGAGCCAGAGCCGCACACGGAAACGCCGTTTACCTTCCCGCTTGTAAGCGGTCCCTATTTATCTACTTGCACCCGGGGGTGCTTTCGAACTGCTAGGTTGGCAGGCGCTGGGACCGAACGACGGGAGCGCACCCCGCCGCGGGGATTCGAACCGCCGACCTTTCGATCGGCAAGCCCTAGGCGCTGAGGCTTTTACCCACAGCGCCA